CATCAATTCTAATGATCTGCCGTTACCAGCTAGATGCTGTTTTTATTTTGGAATGTAAATGCAGTATTTTTCATTTCCCTTGATATCTGATTTACAAAAAGGTTAGTTGTTATTCAAAAATCAGTCGCAAAACCCTAAAAACCACTTTATCAAAAACATCTTGTGAAAAAAGGGATCTGAGAATGTAAAAATATACGGGGTATTAAATTATTATTAAAAACCGTCATGTTGCGTTCCTGACCATTTTGTACAAACCGACCGAAAAACTTATAAAGCAAGTAGATAAAAAACAAGGTTAATAAATTTTCTCTAAAGTTAACCGCTTATAAGTTATAAGCGATTCATTTTCTGAACCATCGAAAAAATGGGAATTTTCACTGCTTGAAAAGTTGATTAAAAATATTATTTTTGCGGTTACCAAGTGTCTAAATTAAAGTTCAAACCTTCCCCTACAAGACACCGAAGAGTATTGATTAATTTTGAAGTAATTTTAAACTTTGCTTGGTAGACTAATAGGCGGCGAATTTTTTATTTTCAGAGACTACATGACATGGAACATCCAAAAAATACAATACCTCATTTTAGAAATTTCTGGTGATTATACTTCCTCGCTAATTAGCATGGGAAGTAAAATAGCAGCACTAGTGCTCCAGTTTTTTTATTATGAATCTGCAGTCTCTGCATCAATTTTGATAAAACTGTGTGCTTCTTCGTCGTTGCTCTTGTAGCAATCTACCTGTGCGAGTTACTTGAAATGATACGCAACACATTCTTCTGATAGTCAACATTATTGGATAAACGTGAAACATGAATGGATCCCTAAATCCCTATGACTACATATCCATCATTGGAACAAGTGGAAAATAACAACGCCTGGATCGGAATGTATTCATTACCGATTGCTTATTGTGAGAGGCAATACAATGTACATTAAAAATCCCCAAAGGTCTTGCACCGTTGCCATACGCAATAGAATATTACCTCATCTACGTTACAGTGCCACCACAGAATGCATATTGCATCAAGGAGGCTGCATACTCTGTACTTGAATGTTAAATTTTTCGTCTGTACTGAACCCGTTCTGCCGCCTACCTAGTACCAATTGCATACAGTTGTTTTATTCGTTGAGTAAGTCGAGATACTTCTCGTAATTTGTATCGGTCAAGGTGATATTTGCTAATAAGAGGCTTGACTTTACCATAAACGGAAGAGTTGTATGTTTAGTTATGAATAGGAATTTTAAAGCAGCTGCGGTTATTATTACAGTATTGTGAGCTACAATAGCTTGATATTTGCAAAAAATATCACGGACTACAACTATAAACAATCGTATATACGTTCAGATGTTTTTCAAGGATCAGTGTTTCTAAGTCACGCTCTGTATGTAAAATAACCTGATATCTAAAAATTAAAAACTCTGAATAAGCTTTTCATTTGCTAACCACAAAGGTCCTATCAGATTTATCGCTTAATCTGTTGCGGGATTCCTTAAAAGTTAGAAGATCGCCTTTCAATGGGCGCTGATTATACAGGTATCGATAAAAATATCTTGCTATTAAAACTATATTTGGGAATATATTTTCATGCCTTTTAGACCACTCGCGATTATTTGCATAAAATATATGTAGAATCCGGCTCATCGTTTGTACCAATAAATATCACTAAAGGTATTTGGTAGAACAAACATGTATAATTTGCTATCAAGTATCAAGTAGTTTGAACATGCTTGATCGCAAGTCAAGTAGAACAATAAAAAATGAAATCGAGTCGCGTATTAATGTTTCCAGAAATTTTATTGTCAAGTAGTTTATAAAAATGTCAAGCTTCTTGATGAATCCCTATTAAAAATGTCATGAAAAACATAATCAAGAAAGCTAAGGTTTGCATAGCTTCCAGAGACTGACATTTGTATGATCATTCATAATTTGTAACATTCATTAAAGGAAAATGATAAAAATTGGATCTAAATCATTTTATTTCGAAGATTTTTGAAGGAACAAATCAATCAGTCATTTATTTTGATAGTCTTTCAGTAAAAAAGTGTTCACATACTAACAGCAGTTTTAGAAACCTCCTCTTACTCAGAAGTAGTAGTAATGCTTATTGATTATTTAACTACTACTATAAAAGTCTAAAATAAAATAAACAAAAAAATCTCTGGATGTATACTTATACTAAACACTTGATACCGAAAAAATACATATAAACATAGGTATATAACATATCGTGGGACATGCACAAAAATTTAAATATTATACGATTTATTAAATTTAAATTAGAAGAAGAATTGAGATAGATTTTCTCTGATGCAAGTAGTTAATTATTATTGGTAGTGGATAGTTGAATCGTTTTACATATTTTCCTTGCCAAGTATATTACGAGTAATACATCAAAATTATATTCGTAGATTCCAGACTCATTTTACCTGAATATTAACCTGGCGCATTCCTGTTCAAAAATGACCCTTTGTTCCCCAACTACCACATAACTGTACTCAGATGACATTTAGACCGTACCTTAAAATTTAACAGTATAAACGCTCCATCATTGTCTCGGTCTTCGCCGATCTTTATCCATCTAGTTATGTTACACAATGTACGACGTAAGGCATGACGAGCAGACTTTCACTCCAGGTAATGAAATTTATTTCTTCTCCGTCCTCGTTGGAAGATACGGTTTGAAACATTATTGGTTTACAACTACAAACACTACAGAGCTTTAACGCAAGTACAAATTAGAAATGTAAAAAGCTCGCGGCTTCAAACGGCCGAACAGATTCATTACGTCTAAGAATGCTCTTGATTGAGTTACCTTTCAGTTTCCAACAAAAAAAGACAAATCAAAATATGTAATTCCATCCATTTCAGACCTACTATGTCACTGACAGGCACATACATGTATATCATCCCTCTTTCGTCATCGAGTGATAAAAAAGTTTGACAGGTAGTAAAACTTTCTAGTATCTAATAGAATGGAATGTTTTTCTAGACAAATGATGTGTAATAATGTTGCTACGCCAAAGAATTCATTATTGTCCGAAAGTAATATTCAGATTCAATAAAATTTAAATGCCTATATCAAAAGGGAAATCCTATAATTTACTATTTTACTTTCTAAAATTTAAGAGACTTTTGTTCTTGAAGTCTGCATAGGATGAAATTGCTACTTCAAAGAATCCGGTATCCGACGTTATTATGGTTTAAATTGACAGCGAATACTGGCCAAAATTAATACTTTTGTATTGGAAAAAGTTAGAAATTAAAATCGAAAGGGAAAACCCATAATTTATTCTTTTACTTTCCAATGAAATTCAAAAGATTTTTAGGTTACGTCCTGCCTATATTGTAAATTTTGTCTCACACTTTGACTGTCTATAATGAATTCAGTGATTACTGTTTCTTAGATGCTATTTGCTTGACTTTGAGAATAAAATTTGATTAGATACGTGTACGTTAGAAAAGCAGCCAATATTATGTAGTTACGATGGCACATTATTTAGCTTTTCTTCCTGGTGCCTCTTATGATCTAGCGCTCCACGGATATGAGTTCTACGCATTGAGAGGTATTTTCAGATAGGGTCTGAGGATAAATTATTTTAGTATCTACACACCAAATGTCAATATTGCTTCCCACGCCTACTAGCGGGAAAGCATCTATTTTGTGTTGACCATAACCCTTTATGAATTGATAACGGCATTGCGTGGGAAGTGCAGAGTCAACCTACTTGAGGCCATATTTTTTGTACAATGTTTTCTTACCCATTAATTGACTTTCGTTCCTTGTAGTTCGTACAGCACAGATGTACGCGAATAAAATTGTAGGATTAGGAATTTTTTTGTTAACTCCGCATCAAAAATTCTAAATTTCTATTTTGACATCCATCATAGGAATATGAAACATAGGAAAGAGTTCTGTTACAAGACTGACTAATGTCATATAAATTGCTGCATTCTGATTCACCAGAAAAGTGATTGTCCTTCACAAAAACGGTTAGGCGAGAAGCGTGCCGACGCTGAACTATGAGTTTCCTTTTCCGGTCAAATCGACCATTCACTCAAACGCGATGGCCGTTGAATTGTTAATCAGTTGAATACATTTGTAAAAGAATGTTCGTACATACCCCAATACACTGTAGAGATCAATTTTTTATGGATGTCTATACCTACAGGGGCTCTTCCACGAAGTGATAAGGTGATTTTTATGAGGACGCTTTGAAGCAAGGATTGTCAAGATGGAGACATTGGATCCTCCGAGGAGAGCCTCTAGAAACGACTGGCAGGTTGTAAGATCCGTAGTTGATTTTCAAAAAACCAAAATGGGCGGTCAGCACATTTGACTCATACAAGTCCCCAGGACCAGATGATATTTACCCAGCATTACTTCAGGAGGATATATGGAAATCCTAACACAAGGCACATGGTGGCGTAGCTAGAAGTCATGGGGCCCCGGGGCAAACATTTTTTGGGGGCCCTCATGAGTATATTTAAGAATAAAAAATAACATGCTATAATAAAAAAAATGTTTATTATCATAAAAATAATAAGGTAACACAAATTAAAATAATGAAATAACAAAAGTCAAAAATTAAACAATAATAAAATCAAAAATCCCTTTTTCTTGCTTTTCTATTTGCAAATTCCTTGATAATATCATTTATATCAAGGTTTTGGGCTTCTTCATTCTCTATAGAGAGCAAAGCAAGATCGCTTAATCTAATCTGGCCTGTAGTAGTTTTTTATAAGTTTTAGCTTGTTAAATGATCTTTCAACAGTTGCAGTAGTTACAGGCAACGTAAACAATAAAAGGAACATTAAGTAAACTTCACTTAAGTCGCTTTCAAGTACTCCAAACTTACTTAAAATTATATTGTAATATTCCTTAATTGATAGATCATTTTTAAGGTCTGTTTTACAAACATTTAACAAATTGGTATACTGAAATATTAAATCATTTAAATCAAATATTTCAGGATATTTGTTATAAATGGCTGTACATTTATTTTAAATGGATGTTTCATCGCAACTTAATATAATTTTTGGAAGAAGTAAATCAAACAATTTATTAATTTTTTTCATGCTCCTAAATCTATTAGAAATCTGTGTCAGAACACGGTCCATAACAACATTAAAAACATTTATTTTAAATAAAATTTGAGTATTATTAAATCTGTAATCACTTAAGAGTTCGTCAAAGTGTTTTTTAACTTTAGGTTGACGTTTTTGCCTGAATTCCGGTTGAATATTCCATTTGTTAGCCAGTTCCGTAGCTTCAATCATCAATATTTCAGAAGAAAATCTTAATTCAGTAAGGTTCTTTTCTACTTGTTCTAAAACACTCACAGATTCACTTAAATCGATATTTTTCTTTTGAAGGACCTTTGAGGAGAAGTTAACCTGGGTAAAGATTTTATACAACATTGTTGAAATAAATACAAATTCAAAGCAACACATTTGTTTTTTAATGGAAGAAGCTTCTTCTCTTTCTTCTTTTTCACGAGACTATAACTCTATTTCTGTTAAAGATTTAATAATATCAAGATAACGAAGTTTGACAGCACTAATAGACAATATCCTTACTGACCAACGAGTTGGATTTAATGTTTTTAAAGTTGTTTTGGATTCACTGGTAAAAGAAGCTAAAAGATTCCATCTATTAATACTTAAACCAAAAAAAGAATATATATTTTGCAAAGTGCAAAATATTGCGAGACCTCTTTACAAAAATTTACTGCATCATTTATTACTAAATTTAAGTTGTGACTTGCACAATGTACATTACATATTCGGCATTTTGTTGAACTCTTTTTATTTGAGCATTTACTCCATTATAAGCCCCACTCATTACACTGGCTCCATCGTATCCTTGCCCATAACATTTTTCAATGGGAATATCTAGATTTTTTAGTATATTTAAAACTTCTTGAGTCATTCCTCCAGCAGAATGATGTTTAACTGGAAAAACCCCAAAAAAGTTTCTTTGATTTGAAACTTTTGAGATAGCAGATTTTTATCTCGAATTGTGTGACACGTTCGAATGACTATACTTAATTGATCTATCTTTGTGATATCTTGACTTGTATCAATAAGAAAAGAAAAAAATGTTGCGGAATTTATTTGTTTTGTTAATTCAAAAGTAAGTTTTTTTGAAAGGCAATCTATCAATTCATTTTGAATAGTTGGGATAAGATATCGCACAGATCCAGAAGGCATTTCCACCCCCTGTTTCATAACATCGTCATATTCTGACAAAAATTTCACTTGAGCCATAAAATTCCCACGAATATCATCTTGACGTTCACGGTGCCCCCGAAGTGACAAGGAAATTTTGCCAGAAGTAATGTAATTTTAAATAATCCTTGCAACACCATTTTCCAGAAGGATGCTTGAAATCTGACCTCTTCTTCTAGGTTCTTGTCAATGGCACGATTTTTTCTCCAAAGGTCGTGAACAGTGCAAGCTTCAATATGAGCTTTGCTTTTTCTGTGCTCTTCAATGCGTGATGATAAATGTTTCCAATCTCTTAAGCCCGTACTCCAGTGACTGCACAATTTTGAGAAAAGCTAACAAGATTCACAATAGGCTGCATCTAGTACAGTTGAATAGCACAGCCAAAGACGATTGACAGGGCCGTATTTTGTAGTAGAAAAATAATAACTCTCACTAAAACTGCGATCATTTTGGTTCGAATCCTTGGGAAATGGACCTTTAGGTCTGTTGGGTGCAAGACTAATAATAATCTTTTTATCTTCATCAGTAAGAGTTTTTCCCATGTAAAATCCAAGATCGCTACATACAGTAATGTTGCTATTAGAGGAACCTGGTGTAGTAAACATAGCATTGCTTCTAATAACTTTATCAAAAGTAAAAGTCTTAGTACAAGGCAAAAGTTCTTTAGAGGTAGAACAAGAAATAAAAGTTTCTCGTGACTCAGAAATATTGATAGTTACTTGTTCTTTTTCAGAAGATTGAGAGGCTTTAAAATTTTTTTCTATTTTAGCATGCTTTTCTAATTTTTCCTCTTTTTCTAATTTCAATTTTCGTTTCTGTGCTCTAGACTGATATTTCCGCTTATCTTCCATTTTTATTTTTTTAGCGTTTTGTTCCGCAATCTGCTAATTCTGCAAAGAGAATAATACACAACCATTTTTAAATGCATTAAATAGTTCGATAGTTGTGTATCAATTAGACTGTTTCAAAAAAATCTTCTATTTTTTTCTCTCAAGTACGTCGAAAATATTGTTAGAAATGATGAAAAAAAATCCTGTAAAAGTAACAGCTCTTAATTAATATTAAGTGGTGCCGCATCGCAAATTTCAATTTCCCCGAAAAACTTTTGAACGAGTAGGTTTATCGGAAAATTGTAAGAGACCTTTTTTGTAAAGCATTCAATTCCCTACAAGAGTGAACTATGAACTCATCCGTATGATAATTTAGTAATGAGAAAAAAATTCAAAAGATGAAAACAATTTTTCCCATGTTAATCAAATGGGAAACTGAAATTTGAAATGCGGCACCTTAAAATATTAATATTTAAGAGCTGTAACTTTTACAGGAATTTTTTTCATTTCTAACAATTTGTTCGATATACTATATACTTAAGAGAAAAAATTAGTCGATATTTTTGAAACAGTCAATAGGTCATTTTTAGTCTTTAAGAAACTTTTCGAGTTTAGTGTCGGGTTTAAGGTGCCCGCAGAGTTTCCGTAACATAAGACTTAAGCCCAGACTTAAGCCTTAAGCTGTAACGTAATTTCTTATGCCTTAAGGCTTAAGTCTTGACTATACTTTATAAATCACCTTATCAGAATTCTGTATAATTCCTTGCAGTTAAGTCTTAATCTGTCTTAAATGAAACTTAAGTCTTACGTTACGGAAATTCTGCGGGCGCCTTTACTCAGCAAGGTAATCGACAAATGTACATTTACAAACAAAATTACGCACAAATCAAAATCGAGCTATTTATTCATTAAGTAATATAACTTACACTTACCTTTTCTTCTAATAGGTACCTTATTATAACGAGACACAATAGTCACAATACAAATATAGTAATGTTATTTTACACCATGCCGTGTACCACGGCACGACTACGACACATATCAATATCACATAGAACACGCTGTGTAGTTAAAATCATCAAAACAATAGATCGGGGAATCCCCAAAGACGAGACGTAATATTAAAGCGGTGGTGCCAAACCCGTCGCGGTCCGACGGATTATAGCTACATACATTTAGGAACGCAAGCGTTTTCCTCAAATATGTAGCGTTTTAAAAAATAAACATTATTTATCATTATATTTATTACTTATTTTTCTTTTTAGTATACCTAGGTTATATTAGCACTTAATGAATTTATTGCTGATCGGCGCTTAGAAACAATTTTTTTGAGGCGCATGGCCGGGGCCCCCTATAAGCTAGGGCCCCGGGGCACTGCCCCGGTTTGCCCTAGGATAGCTACGCCCCTGAAGGCACAACCTGTATACAGACGGGTCTAAAACTGAGAAGGGATATATGGGAAAAGGTACACTCCTGGGCATAGTATACCACTTGGAAGACACACCTCTGTATTTTAGGCAGAATTATGTACAATCTTGCATTGTGGCATATCAATAAAAGGATCACCATATACACTGACAGTCAGGCGTCACTCATAGCGTTAAGAAGCCCTAGAGTGACATCTGCACTGATCTGGGAATGCCAACAAGAACTGAACACACTGAAGTAACTTTGATGTGGGTGCCAAGACACTTGGGTAACGCAGGAAATGAAAGGGTATGTGAGCTCACAAGGAAAGGATCATCCACACCCTTACAGGCCCTGCATCTGCCTTGGGGATACTAAAGAGCAGAATAAAGAACCAAGTCAATGAATGGGTAAAAATCGAGCATAAGGAATATTAGCACTTAACGACTCGATACAGGCATGGAGAATGATTTACCTCGGGGCCATGTTCAAATACGGCCGCAGAACTGCTCTCAATCACTAGAAACCAACTCCAAAATAGGGATGCATGATGGAGACCTCAGCTGGAGACAATGCGGAAAAGGAAGAGAATCAGCCCTACACGTCTTACGTGAGTGCGAGGCATTGGATTACGAAACATATCAACTATAGTCAACGCCAAACAAAGTGGCGTGCACGTCATCAAGGTGGGTGTGTTGAAAAATTTACATTGTTGCCAAACTTTTTGTAAAATAATAAAATTTATTATTTACATATCTAGGTTTATAAGCAATATTAACCTCAAATGAGAACAAAAATAATAGTATAATAAAATTATAGATCTGTACTTGCATAATCATTAAGTATGACAATTATTGATCAGATGACACTATGAAACTACCATATTTAATTGATAGCTTAAAGGTACTGAATAAAAATCCAAATGGGGTCCTCCAAATTTTATGCATGGTATTTATTTTACAGAATTCATACAGAAAAATGCATTCTAAAATTAGGTAAGCTACTGGTGTAAGCTTTTTCTGTACAATAAAGTTAGTCGGAGTTTCTTTCTTCAGCGCTGTCTGAATCTGAATCTTCATCACTCTCAAAGTTGATTATTAAAGGTTCGATGTCTGGTCGATCAAAAATTCGTTCTCTTTCATACCATTTAAAAATTTCTTGCTCAGTATGTCGAACACTATTTTTCCACATGTCTGGGGTAACCGTTTGTAGAGCCTCGTTCCACATATCCAAACAGTCTTTTTCACTGTTACCATCTCTACCAATATGTCTGTTATAGTAACCTTTTGCTATGCCCCAAATTAACTCAATAGGGTTAAATATACAATGGTAAGGAGGCTTTCGAAGAACTTTGTGCCCATGTTGTTCCGCCAATTCATCAATCACGTATATTTTAGGTGGTTTGTTTCTAAAAAAGCAGTTATTTTAAGAATAGGAATAAACAAAAGAAATATAAACTGTCGACCAAAATATATATAATTAAGAAGCATTATGTACCGAGCAACAATACTCAATAGCTCTGTTTTAAACATTGTGTTTAAAAATGGTATGTTTTGATTTGTCAACCAGTCTTGGATATTTTTTTTTGTCCATGCATTGTTGGGCACTTTGTTCAATATCATGCTGTGATAAGGGGCGTTATCCAGTATAATCATAGATGGACTCTCCAATTTTTCTAATAACTGATGTTGAAACCATTTCAAAAAATTGTCCTGGTTCATCTCTCCATGGTAATCGCTCAATTTTGTTTTCGAAGAAAATATCGCTTCACTACCCTCAATAAACCCATTTTCATTTCCAGCATGTAATATAATGTATCTAAAATATATTAGTTTTAAATTTTATAGTGCAAATTGTGTAAAAGTACATACCTTTTACCATCTGTTTTAATAGCTTTCACGCTTTTTTGGTTTCCATTTTGCCAAGAGCCTATGGTCCCATTTTGAAATATCCAAGTTTCATCGAGGAAGACAAACTGGTATAAGGCCTCAACCTTGGCTTGATTGTATTGCCTTAGAAATTCCACCCTTTTCAAAGCTATACTTGGTAGTTCCATGAGCCCTCGTCGCGGATTGTCCTTAAGCCACTTAAATCCAAGATCTCTAAGCAACTGCCTTAAAGACGTGGCACTACCATCAAATAATGCCCTATCTCTTAATCGAGACCATAAAGTTTGTATCGTAACTTGTTCTTCTGAAACCATGTGTAATATGACATTATAATTTAGTTAACAAATTAATGCAAATTTCTGATAAGTTATTATAATAAGATCTTACTTTTGTGATACATATTATAGATCACTTCTCGAATGGCACTTGTATCCAATATCGCTGTGTTGGTTACACGTTTAATATAACTCCGCTCTTTCTTGGGCGATTCTAAATTTGCATCACTTTTCACACCCTCGGAAATACGACTAACTGTCCTTAAACTAATTTTTAAAGCAGCAGCAACACGCTACAAAAAATGAAATAAAATTTCACTATTATTAATATACATTACATATAATTATTAGTAACCTACCTCTTGAACAGCATTTAAAGGCAACAAAGGCCCGTTGTTGTCCCTTTCTTGCTCAAAGTAGTGCATTAACGAGGCCACGAGTTCCTTACACCGACTATTTAACTGTTTGGGCATCTTTATATACCAAAATTGCCTTTATCTACTCGTAAAATGAATAATTTTGTTTTAAAACAAACAGTTGTTGATTTACAGTATGCGGGGCCAAAGGATTTATAAAGATTTGAAATGCCACAAATTGATTCAGTGCCAAAATTAATACAAATGTCAGTTCCCGGTTTAAATAAGTTTCAAGGTGACAATGTGTCAACGCTGCGAAATCGGTTTAGTGCGTTTACATGTCGATAAGTGATTGGAGCGTTTGCAAAACATTTTATTTCGCATAATGCGTCTAAATTTATCAGAAAGCAACTTATGTGATATTTTAATAACAATGTTTATATGACTATTAACCATAATAAGAGAGTAATGACCATTTTACAATTTATATATCACATTAATATGAAACTGCAATAGAGCAATTGTTTGTGATAGAAACCTAGGCATTAGGTCGGGGAATTTTTATCGTGATGACGTGCACGCCACTTTGTTTGGCGTTGACTATAGACTGCTGGATTGGGTACTGTGATTCGCTTCCATGTTCACGATACGCTGGAAAATAACATCCTAGTTCTTTAATGAGGAAGGGCATACCATTCTTGACATGTCCAGAATGAATCTTAAATTGTGTAAAGTATGGATGATTGGACCTTTAACACTACAGTCAGTTTCTCACAAAATACTGAAAATCTTGAATACTGTAACAAGCAAAAATATTTTTGAATTCCAGGGAACAGAAAATGAGCGTATCACACTCACCACATCGTCGGAAACAAGTGCAAAAAACCTCAATTTTCCAGACATTCGATTGGTGGACGGACCATCGATTTTGGCGGGAAGGCTTCAGATCCGCCATCATGGAGTTTGGAGGAGCGTTTGCACCAATTCGAGAAAGTAAGTGAATTTTTGCTTTCCATGAGAAACCCAACTGCCTTAAGCAACAGATTTATCTTATACAGATGAGTGTGCATATTTGTCGAAGGGGTGACTATTATACAGGCCAGTGTGATATCCAGTTTGTCTTTCTGTGTGTGGGGGGGGGGGGTGTGTCCCGAAAAAGATCACAGAATTCAGCTAGAGGTCGTCAAGTAGCTTAAAGCTAGTATACGAGTACGTCTAAACATATCTACTATTTTCGGAAAAAAGTGATTTAAACGCAAAAAGAATTTTAATTGTTGATCGAATAACAGAGGTAGATATATTCAGATGACACCCTCGAAGTAGTTAAATCTGGTCAATTAGACACGAAAAGGAACGGACCCATTGGACCTCATTCGGTTGATCTTTTTCCTCCACATACAGAAATGTTATAGGTTTTTTCCAAGCAGACTGTGTTGTAAAGGGTTTATATAGCTAAATCTCCAAATATGGATCAATTAAAAACATGATCCTTCCCTCTACAGTTGGACTTTGAGCGACATGGAAACAACATGTAGGCAGTTAGGATTCCAGGGCGGCAATTTTCACATGTGGTACAATCGTCAAATGCCATTAAGACCACGGTTGCTTTTAGAAGAACCAAATTGCACCGGCACTGAAACTTCCCTGCTCCACTGTCGTTGGAATACAAGACAAATGGGTTCTGGTGTAAGTTTAGTTGATAGAAATATAAAATATAAAATAAAATATAATCTGAATAAAAGAGGCGCATATGAAATCTAACTAAAAACGATGCATATCAGGGAGAGTGCTGTTCACTTTCAAATATAGTGAGAATCACTCATGAACATATGCAATAACGTAATCGCTATATCTTTTATGGCTAATACATTTTATGCTATTACGGGAATTTGTTTTCTTTACTACTCAGAATGATGATGTATACCGCGGTTTCAATTTTTTATTCGGGTGAAGTTAGCAATCTGAAATTCGATAAAAATGAAGCATGAATGCTGTATTTTTACGTGAAGTGTCAGTTGAAAATTTCAAGATGGCGGCTGGGCCTATGACCTTAGAGTACATATAAATTTATTATATTTCAAAACAATTCCGTTTTTACCCTGGGGGCCCATGCTCAGGGCCCCAGCTTGATGCGGGACCACAAACGCCCAAAAATCAAACGAAATTTAGAAAAATGTCAAGTTTTTGACATTTTCAAATGGTGTGCTCCATGTTAGAAAATTAATATTGCATAATTGAAGACACAAGTGGATAAAGGTATCACGTAACAAAATCATTGTATGGACTTTAAACATTTTTTATTGGGACCTTTTACTTTATTGAAATTTTAAAAATTTAGTTTAATTAGATTGTTGTTTGTTGTTGTTGAAGATTTATTTAGCATTAATGCTGCAATGTCAATTTTGTATAATGATTCGGTTACATATTTTTCTTCAATCCATTTTCTGTAATTTTACATTCTTGTCTATTAAAATTAAAATTACGTCACTATGTATTTTGATTATTCATAAAGTAATTCTTTAATTTCACCTTAAACATTTTTAAATTCGAACTCTGTTTAATATCATTATTCAATTTATTAAATTCAAATACTCCCTTTTGAAATATAAATTTTCTAGTCATGCTTCTATTACAATTTTGCAGATGAACATCTATACAGCCTGTAGTTTCGTAGTTATGATAATGACTATTTATTTTGTGAAGTTCTCTAAATGTGGTGGTAATAAATGATTTTTTAATTTGAATATGAAAACGAGAACTAAATAATATATGAAATTTTTCACATCCAACCACTACAGTTGTTCTAACATACTATAGACTTAATCCTAGCATATTTGTTTTTATTTAAAATGATTCTCATAGCTTTATTTTGTAGAATTTATAGTTTTGAACATATGTTTTCATTTGCTGTAAACAAGATGGTTGAACAATATAAAAAATGGGGAAGAATTATAGTGTTATACACAATTTTTTTGAAATACATACTAAGATTATGGGAAACTCTATAGAAGTAATTCATCTTTTCGATATTTTTGATAGAATGTATTCATAATGTTCGTGAAACAGTAGCTTCCTATCCACATATATACCAAGATATTTAAATGACTCGAATACTTCAATTTGTTCATCATTAATCATGAGCCTAATTGTATTGTCAAGTAAATGTTTCCCTATTGACATACATTTTGTTTTATTAGTGTTTATTTTAAGTTTATTGACATTTAAACAATTCAATATCACTATTTAACAGTTCTAAAGCAGTGTCCAAATGCTTATGTGCTATATATATATATATATATATATATATATATATATATATATATGTGTGTGTGTGTCCGCAAATATTTGAATTTTGCAGTGTTCTAAAATGTCAGAGATATCATTTATATAAATAATAAATAGTCACGGCCCTAATTTACTCCCCCTACTGATATATTTTTAACACTTGACATAATATTTCCAACTTTAGTTTTTTGACTTCTATTTACTAAATAATTTTGTAAAATGTGTAATACTGATCCTTTAAAGCCATAGTGACCCAATTTCATTAACAATTTTTCCCTATCTATAGTCTCAAATGCCGTTTTGAAGTAGTTATCGGCATTATCGATACTTTCAGGTATATTGTGTTGTAAAAGTGTTTCTTGTAAATTTGTGAATTCAATGACTGTAATTTCTTTCATTTTATTTTCATTGAACATATTTTCCACTTCGAAATATATCCATGAGTGATCACTTATCTTTGGGGTATGCTAAACTTCAGGAATTAGATTTTGTTCATCAGTTATGAGCAAATCTATTTTTGTTTTCGAAAAGTTCGTAATCCTTGTATAGTCGTTTATTTTCTGCCATAATCCATGGTAGTTGTTTTGTAACATAGAAATCTTTACTGTCAAAATTTAGATTGAAGTCTCCTAAATGTATATTTGTGCAATTCCTGTAATAATGTTTTTCACATATACTTTCAAAAAATTCAATAAATCGATTGACGCTTCCACTTGGAGATCGATAATAAATATACAGATTGTAATTTTTGTGTATCCTTATTTCCAGATTAATGTACCACCACTGATATTCAACCACTTCAATGTTCAATATATACGAGCCCCTCCCCACTTCAGTTGGCCCAACTATTGAAATCTTAGTTTTTTTCTTATCAAACACAAATAATAAAAATGTAGCAGGGTGTTATAGGTTTAAAATATTAACAATGAAGATTTTGATAATACGTATATATAGTAGAAAACACCAAATTTATCACTCAATAATCAAATTTGCAGCATAAAAATAACACATGTTGCAATTACAGCATATCAACCTATTTTCATTTCAATGCAAAATAAATCTATAACGCATAGGTGGCTGTGAAAAATAAAAGCCATGACAATTGATGATGAAAAAGGTTCTACGATAACATCCTGCTCGTACAATCACCGAACTGAGACAAAAGCTTCATGAAATATGGGATTGTTTTACACCAAATTTTTGCCAAAACTTGGTTAACACTATGCCCGTAATAAAAAATAAAGGTGATGTTACCCAATGGTAATCTTTCAATTGTTGCTTTGTTAACTTCGCGCATTTATTCGCACATTGTTTATTTGTTCAGATGTTCTTTTAGTTATAGGTCTAAGTGATTTCAAATATGTATTTTTTACGACTAGAGTGTATCTAAAATGTTTTTGAGAAAATAAATTGTTTTAGAAGTAAATAGTTTCGTCATGTTTAGTTTATAAAGGCATATTTTGGTACAAATCTTGAAATGGGCCAACTGAAGTGGGAAGGGGCTCGTATATATATATACCACCTGTATGCTTCGAAACAGAGTTTACTCTTACAACTTGATAGCCGTGAAGATTGATCTCCCTCTCCTCAATATCTTCTGTTACATGTGTTTCTGTTAAACAAAGTATTAATGGTTTCTCTGTGACCAAGAAATTTGAAACCTCATCTTTATGTGACAAAAATCCTTGAATGTTTAAGTGGTATATATCTGGTATATAGCTTATAGCCTGTTTTGTTTGTAACTGCTATGATCTGTCTCCATAACAAGCTCTGTTTTTTGATTTTTCATATTCCATTTGTATTATTCTACATATTTTCTTGAACGTTGAGTGGTTTGTGTCAAAATTTCTATTATATTATTATCTTGTTTTTGCAACAAAGTAATCACAGAATGAAATAATCACTCCTTAAGGTGAGTTTAATGCAAAAAAGCAATTTTTAAAAATAAGTTACATGACACCTTTTTCCACTTGCGTCTTCAATTAGTTATCGAGTTATAAGCAATTCAGTATAGAGAAACGCTTCAATTTGATACCTTGCTGGTCGGCCATTTTGAAAGATAGTGATTTTATAATCTCGGATTATAAAATACTCATCAGTAGCTTTAAAATTAAGTATCACTTGATTTTCCATAGCGCTTAAAAATGTTCCGAGTTGGCGCCCAACTGCCATATTGGAATTTTCAACTGGCGCTTTTATGCTAATGGTATTCATGCATCACTCTGACTTTCAGTTTGCTAACTTGACTCGATCGAAAAATTTCTGAAAAGCGCTTATATGCAATTGTTATGTATTGAATTTTTTTTTTTTTATTTAGGTATGTGACTACCATCCAGACCTGGGAATAGAATGCCAGCCAAGACATGATACACCACTGCCATTTTGGAGAGGAATCAAATTCGAATATGCCGCAAACGATGAGAGACTGATGTTAGGGAATACCCTAAATGTGCCATTTTCTAGGTTCGTTTATTAAATGCTTCATGTTACATTTTTACCATCTATGTTTTCTCAATGTGAATTCAATCCAACATCAATTGCATATCCTATACTTTCAAATCTAGTATCAGAATATTTGTTGTATCTTAATTTGGTTAGTATCTGAATAACTGTGTGAGTTTTGAAGCCTCCAATAACTATGAGTTAGAGCTCCAAAACAATGTCTCTGTGCATACCTCATTTACCATTGTACTGCGATAAATAAATAATATTTAATTTAATCACTCATCTTAAATTATATCTTCTGCATTTTTCGAACGTTCACGAAATATGACTAGTTGTTCTTCTCCTGTTCAGGTCTAAGTTACATTATGTTGAAATCTACTATGCTGGAACGGGAAGGGATCAGAACGCTTCAAGTGCAATAGATGTGATAGGAGTGCCTCCTAATATGGACCACATTGAAATTCGAGGATCAGCCTACAATGGAATAAACATCACTAATCCAGATGCTCCAGTGAGTTTAAATTATCTTCCTCATGTACAAAGCATCGGCTTAAAAATATTATAAAAGGCGTCCCAAAAGCACTCTGGGAGTTTTGTTTTCAACTAAAACAAACAATATCAGAAAAATGGCTTGTTTTCAAAGAGTAATTCATTTGTAGCTGCTTTTTTCAAAGGCATAGAGAAATAGAATAATCAGCTTTATCGAGTTATCTTTATTATCATTAAAAGAAATATTTTTGGAATTCAGGTTTTGCAGTCTATTACTTTCAAATTTTGGCAGTTACTCCGGTGATCATGGGTTAATTATTGTCAATAGTGAAATCGGGCCTTAATGAATCACCCATTAGCACCAGAATACAAACGTAGGGAAGTTATGTTTTATGAGTAATATTCCCTAAAAGTCCCCCTCAGCTGTTTCTACAGATGACCATTTTTCGACCAATATTTTCAGTAATATTTTGGCGCAATTACGACTCAATATGACAAATAACTTAAAATGTTTCTTGCTTCGTCATTTATCGACGGGTGGATTGTTTGGATATACTTTATTCTTCGCATGATCTCACAAGCCAATGGGCATTGCGACTGGCAGTTAAATCGCGCGGCCTTCAGGAAAACGTGTTTGTAACTAGGGATGCAAACTTTTTATAAATTTCGATATATCGATATATATCGAATTAAGTCGATATCGATCTATCGATATATCGGTCTATTGAGCCCATATATCAATATTTCATATTTTTTTGGAAGCTTACAGACGTTAGAAATCCAATGCAGTTTCAGTTATATCAAACAGTTATCGATTACGTATGTATATAAATTTTTATACTTATGTATGTGAAGTGAAACAAAATTCGGATAGGCATATAATATGTGTTTTTCTTTCCATACATTTATTTGGGAAAATTTATTCCAGTATTTTGTACTAGCTATTGAACTGAAAAATAGTAACTTTGACAGTCTGCGTCCTTGTAGCCGGTTTCTGCTCTAAGTTATAGTGGCTCCTGCTTTTGAAAAAATACGTTCGGAAGGAACGCTTGTTGCCACAATTGGTTTCATATCCAATTTCACATTCTTCTGGATGATTGTGTTTAATATGTGATGCTAGATTGTATTTCCAGACGTTTTAACTGTGCAAACATCAGTAACATCTTCTTTTTTGAAATATGACTATAATCTATTTCTCTTCATATTTTGCAATTAAAATTGAGTATTAATTTATTAGCAACCACCAGGTACAACACGTGTACATGTCACATGTCATATCACAAAACATATACACTTGTCACTTGTCATATCGTCATACCTCATTTTCTAGAGAGTCAGTGTTGTCACGTTGCCAGTCAAGCGTTTTACCCGTTTTTGTGAGTATTTTAATTTGGATGGGTTTTTCGATATTTTGATACGATATATTGAATTTTCCGATATCGATATATCGACATCGGCGTATCGTCGGTATCGATAAGTATCGATATTTTTAGTTGTCGATTTATCGATATTAATCGGTTTTCCGATATATCGTTGCATCCCTATTTGTAACATACAAAGTAATCTTCCCCGCACGATACGTCACTCACACGTCTTGTTGAAAAAATCTAATATTGTTAAGGTGCATCTTATCAACTGGGACCACGAAAAATTCATGTCTGTGGTAACGTTCTCTGTAAACATTTACAGTTCCACCATTGTAATTTTCAAGGAAAAGTTAGAGTGAACTCTACTATAACCACTCGTAGTCCATTTACGCCCAGACAAAACACAACATTCCCAGAAACGAGATTGTACAGGTCCGTATTTTCCTCAATGGTCTTGAAATAATCCAACACAATTCTTTATTCGCTGGAAGTGCGTGAATCATCGTCCGAATGGTTAATATTAATTTATTACAGGTTCAATTTGATTATCGATCATATTGTCCAGATCCTACATCTTTGTTTCGATTGTCTCTTGGCGGATGCAATCTTTCCAATGGTTTGCCGTCACCCTGTTGACAGCTTCATAAAACAAATTTTTCACGCCAGAAAATTTGAATGGTCTATTGTTCGAAGCCACATAGTTTTTTATATTTGCCCAAATCATTTCAACGGAATTTAATTCGCAGTGATAAGGGAGTAGTCTTAAAACTATCTTATTTTGGTTTTTAGCAATTTCGTCAATAACATCAAGATTATACTTATATTTGTGCTGCCTGACTATATGGATAAGTTCTGCTTTGATCATATATTAATTGAAACTAATGTCTTTTGATAGAAGCCATTTTTGAATTTCTGCCTTTCTTGTGGACATTGTGGGATTTTTTTCTAGTTTTCTAGTGTGGTCTGCAGCATTATCAAGTACAATGACGGCATTGTCGTCAAGCTTTGTGAGAGTTTCTTCAAACAATCGTTCAAATAAACTCCCGTCCATTTTTTCATGGTAGTCGGTCTTTTTCTTTGACTCAAATGCCCATAGGGTAGTGGGCACAAAGCCATCTTCACACTCCCAATGTTACAGATAACAAATCGTTTTCTTTTTCCGGGAAATAATTATTTCATATAGAATTCAAGAAAACTAATAACAATAAAAGCAGAGTATCTAAGAGGTGTTGATTCCAAATCTACTAGATATAGCTAAGTTTGGTGTAGCCAAGTTTTCAGCGTCGGCTCATAGATTCAGTCCACTGGACACCATTTTTACAACACGAAGATACACGTACCTAACGGTTTCTTTAGGCCAGTGGTTAGTCGATTTAAAACAGCTTGTCTTGCTGATTTAATTGTAGAGGCAGCCCATACTTTAGATCCTGCATTTATCCAGGTTTCATCCAAGTAATAAATCTTCCTGCCCTTGTCGCGGTATTTCTTTATTGATTTTAAATAATTTCTTCACCATAAAATAATCTCTTGGCTGTCCATCAAAATACTATTTCTGTCCCGTTTTCTATACTCAAAATAAAGTTCTTTGAGTAAACTATAGAATGTGGTTTTTTTGAAAGTAGATGAGTCTTTATCACTTTTTACCACCCGTTAATACTTTGTCTATGGTGGGAAGTTCCTGCCTTATAAACGTTAAGTACAATTTCGAATATTCGAATGTCCCTTCTTGTCACGTTTTCGGGAAGATGCATCACTGAACAGTAAGCATGGCTGAAGGAAGCATTGGGAGAAATATTCTCAGTTTCATCTGCTGTATCCGTAGACGACCTGCTAACGTATAAACACACGCTATGCATGCACCGAATATGAACAGCAACTGTCGGCGTCGGCGTGCCGGCGATACCCCGAGCTTGAGTTCTATCCTGTCGAATCCTGCACTTGTTCGTAATTTTGTGGTTGAATGACCAATAGCTATTGTCGCGCTGCATCTTTGTTGTGCTGGGGCGAAAATGGACTACGAATAGGAAAATAGTACGTTTGCAAAATTCTGATGCGTTACGTCGTCAGGTCTCTAGATGATACATGCACAGTAAACAAATATTTAAGTCAAATGTAAATCCCGGAGCAACTATTGGGACGCTCTTTAGTTGTTGAATACACAAATTGCATACTTTGCTTTTTTGTAGGTATCTATAAAGAATTGCAAAATTAGCCACAACCGAGGCTACGGTATTTTCATCAACTCTAGTTACGGCCTGGCTCACATCGACGGTTGCACTATCAACGAGAGCGGTGGAGATGGCATCAGATTCGTGAGAGCCGAAGAAAGACCTGATGAAAAACCGGACAGGTACGGCTATCACGATTTCTGTCGCTTAGCCACTTCATCTAGTCAAACCTTTCCTCTGCAACTTTACGCTGAACAGACCCAGTTCCTGTCCAAAGAACTGACTTGCAACAAAGTTTTTACCACGAGGTTTGGACACGTTTTGACCATTCATTTTATCAGAGCGGTTACAGACAGGAACGACAGCGCCTCTTTTGAGGTCTATGACGGATCCACGTTGAACCACCGGCCATTGACAAGTTTTTTGGTACGAAACAACACTAGACCTCAGAGCTTAACTAGCACAAGCAACCAGATCTTCATCAAGTTCAAAGCTGATGCCAGCACCAATATAGTCATCTTCATGAGAATCATGTCAGGCTTACAAAGGTCATATGATCTCAACGTGAGCAATTCTGACATATCTGAGAATCTGGGTAGAGGCATCGCAGTGGACAATTTAAGATCACAGGTTCATGTATACAAGACCAATCTGTCAAAAAACGAACATGTAGCTGGTTTACATGTTACAAGTGGTGTCGGAGACGTTAATGTTACAGAGAGCAGGATATCGTTTAATGGAGGCGATGGAGTTAACATTACGTACACGGGAGGTAGCAGAAACATCTCTTCGTCTAGCATAAGTTCCAATAAAGGATACGGAGTAGCTATTTGGTTGAATAATACCGAAGAAACTGAGTTTTTGTTTGTGAATCAGACTACTGTTATTCAATATTCAGAAATCTATAAGAACTTGGATATTGGGGTGCTTCATGGCAACTACTGTGGGGATGCACTGTTCAACTTTACTTACAACAACTTCAAAAACTGTCCGAATGATGCATTGGAAATTTTGTCCTGTTGGAAATCTACAAAGGTTAGTAGGAAATCAGCGAAGTCGTAGAATTTGGTAACAAATTCGAGCATGATACATCTACAGGGTGCTGATAAAGCATGTAGAGAAACTTTAACCATGGATTCCTTTGTCAATTTGAAGACTAAATGTTCATATGAACATGGGTCCGTAACGGCTTTCTTTTCGAGCTAGAGCACCATCACTTATGAAATACAAGTAATGTTCCAAATATTTCTATGAATAATGAAACGTATTTATTGAACAGTTGGTATAACCTATGATAAATTTTGCATGTTTTACAAGTTGCTGAGGCTCAATATGAACGTGGATGAAAATAGTATTATCCTGTATTTTTGGGAAAAAAATTATTTAGAAAGTCAATAGTTTTGAACGGTAACATTCGAATAGAACGACAACAATAGAAAATATAGAATAGTTTTTTTTGACCAGACAAGAAAACAAATATTTGACAGCTGTCGAATTATTTGAGAAAATAAATTAATTCAATTGTTTTCGGGTACGGCATAGGTATCTAGATAAGCACAATGCTTAAATATTAAAAGTATTGCGGTCAAAACAAATCAATGTCATGCTATTTTTTCAAAAAATACTGGATATCATTATCCGTATCTACGTACAGGGAGGGTCCGAAAATAACTGTAAATCATGTGATATTTACCAAGGAGTATACTTAATTGAAATAAAATACGTTCCATTCTTTTATAATTTTTTAGAACAATATCATCATTTCTTTTTGTCTTCAAATTGACCAAGGATCCGATGGTTAAAGTTTGTCTACATACTTTATTTCACCCTGTATAATATATATAAAATGCATGAAAAAAAAATAAATCTGATTGATTTCTTATAGCTCTAATTTTTTTAATCTACAGGTAATATGTAAATCAAAATATAAATTTCAGTTAGATACACCATCGAGTATTATTAAAAAAAGGCCATTTTTAGTAAATCTATCGATCGAAACAACTGAGACTTTAAGAATTCGTACAAAAAAGAAGAAGAAATCAGTTGAACTTAATCTGTAACTCTTCATGTTTCCTGTTTTTTGAATGCCAGTTTAATAAGCTGACTTTGCTGAAATATTTTTTTTCAATAAATCAATTTCACTTTATTCACAAGCTGCCCACTATTTCTATTAATTAAACCTTAATATGTTTGTAGGTTCTCACGAGAGTGCAAGTGAGTCACAACAAATTCATTGGTAACGAACGCATCTCTGTCAAAATCTCCCCAGCAGTGAACTTAAGAGCTATAATTGAATACAACCACTTCAGGCAAGGCTTATTCGGAGGCCTTCTGATAAAAAACCAGCCACTGGAGGAGTTTAATGTGCTAGAAAATGACATCTTGGTGCTCCAAAACTACTTCATCAATAATACAGGAATATACGTCGTGAATCTAGCTCTTTCGCCTTACGCTCTCAACCAATATTTGCTCTTCACGAGGAATTTTGTGAAAAGCAACAGGATCAAGGAACCATTTCAAAATGAAAATGGCCTGACAAGCAATTTGAATCCAAGGAGCAGGGTTGCAGCACCTGTTGTTGTTGGCTCAGACAACGTGGAAGTTTTTAGGAATATTATAGAGAATCCTGATTCGAAGTACGAGATAGGAAGTCATCTGGAAGATCAGAGCAAGACAATCAATTGCACCTACAACTGGCTCGGGTTTTCACAAGATGAGTACATATTCCACAGGATATTCCATAGATATGACAGGTACGTGGTAGATGGTCAATTTACGTACGTAAGTCCAAAAAACTTTGCGTTTGTAATTTAATAGTCTTTTTGTATTGTTACAGATATAACTTGGCAAAAATTGCTTTCATACCATTTCTGCTCCACAACACCAATCCTCAGACCTCCAAAATCAACAGCAACCCACTTTACGTGCCAAGATTCACCACTTTACATTCGGACAAAATCGGAGGCGAAATCGAGGGTGAAGAAACCATCCTGAAAGGTGAATACGTAGTCGTGAGAGACATAAGCATCAGACCTGGTGGGAAGCTAGCAATAGAACCAGGTGTGACATTGCGATTTCCACCATCCATAGGAATGATGGTCGGAGGAAGACTAGAGGCTAGAGGCATTGAACCTAACAGCATCAGATTTACACTTAAAGAAGAGCTAATACATGCTCCAGATAATATCACTTACGAGGTAGAAACTGAAAAATACGATTTGGAAACCGAGTTGATCAAAATAGAGCCAGATGTACCAATTAGGTTGCTAGGAGGTGTCTCTGAGACTGAAGGAAGGCTTCAGATCAAAGTGAATGACCAGTGGGGCACTGTTTGCAATTATGGATGGACCATCAAGAATGCGGCGTTAGTTTGTCAGCAACTAGGATACGTTTTGAATCCTGATGATTGGTAGGTGATATGATATTATTCCTTTTCTCCAAATAATGTTACATATATGGGGATGGCATTCTTGTGGATATATTATTCACTTTCTTTGTAAGTGCCAAGTTATGGGGACATTCTTATAGCGGTTACTATAGTTACGACGATAACGGATATGTTGACGCTGTGGATCAACGTGGCTGCCGCGTTACGGTCCCCATTTACAATTGTTCCGCCGTGTCAAGTTTGTTGCAACCATAACAAAAAACCATTCTAGAATATATATCCCATTCGTAGTTCATTGTCGCACAGACAATACACAACATGCCCAAAAGCGAGATTGTACAGGTCCGTATTTTCCTCAATGATCTTGGAATAATCTAACAAAACAAATAATTATTTTTATGGAAAGAAGTGCACATACTTTTCACAATGCTTTATTAGCTGGAAGTACTTGAATCATCGTCCGAATGGTTAATATTAATTATTACAGGTTCAATTTGAATATCGATCATATTGTCCAGATCCCACATCTTTTTTTCCATTGTCTCTTGAGCGTGACGGATGCAATCTTTCCAATGTTTTGCCGTCACTCTGTTGACAGCTTGATAAAACAAATTTTTCACGCCAGAAAATTTGAATGTTCTATTGTTTGAAGCCACATAGTTTTTTATATTTGCCCAAATTATTTCAATGGGATTTAATTCGCAGTAATGATGGCCTTAAAACGGTCTTATTTTGGTTTCGTCAATAACAATAAGATTATATTTATATTTGTGCTGCCTGACTAGATGGATAAGTTCTGCTTGAACTATATTTGCATTGAAACTAGGATAGGAACCATTGTGGAAATTATGCCATTTTGTGGACATTGTGGGAATTTTTGCTAGTTTTCTAGTGTGGTATGCAGCATTATCAAGTACAATGACGGCATTGTCGTCAAGCTTTGGAAGCGTTTTTTCAAACCATCGTTCAAATTAACTCCCGTCCATTTCTTCATGGTAGTCGGTCGTTTTCTTTGACTCCAATTGCCATAGGGCAGTGGGCACAAAGCCATCTTCACTGCCAATGTAACATAACAAATCGTTTTCCTTTTCCTGTAGATAATCATTTCATATAGTAATACAAGCAGAGTGAATAGGTGTTGGTTCCAAATCTACCAAATATAGCCAAGATTGGTTTAGCTAAGTTTTCAGCGTGGGTTCATATGTTCAGTCTACTTGACACCATTTTTACCACACACATTACGAATTGGTTAGATACACGTACCTGACGGATTCTTTAGGCCATTGGATAGTCCATCTAAGAAGGCTTCTCTTGCTGATTTAATGAAAGAGTCAGACCATACTTTATTTTTTGTATGTCCTGGATTTATCCAGGTTTCATCCAAGTAATAAATCTTCCTGCCCTGGTCGCGGCATTTCTTTATTGATTTTAAATAATTTCTTCTCCATAAAATAATCTCTTGACTGTCCATCAAAATACTATTTCTGCCCCGTTTTCCATACTCAAAATGAAGTTGTTTGAGTAAACTATAGAATATGGTCCTTTTGAAAGTAGGTAAGTCTTCATCACTATTAACCTCCTGTACTACTTTGTCTTTGGTAGGAAGTTCCTGCCTTTCGAAAAATTCCGATCAAAGGTATCAACTGTATCCAATAGTTTCGTGTAATGCAGCCTCTTGTGTGGTGGAGAATTTTTTGTTTTTTTTATATTCTTCAATAATGTTGACAATTGTCTTAGGACATAAGCCTGTTTTGTTCGCCACAGGTCTTACAATATTCTGAATTTTCATTTCAGGATGCTCTAAAATTTCGCTCTTATAAACGTTAAGGACAATGCCTTTTGCCTGAATATTCAAATGTCCCTTCTTGTCACGTTTTCGGGGAGGAGACATCACTGAAGAGGAAGCATGGTTGAAGGAAGCATTGGGAGAAATATTTACAGTTTCATCTTATGTATCCGTAGACGACATGCTAACATATAAACACACGCTATGTTTGCACCGAATATGAGCAGCGACTACCGGCGTCGCCGTGCCTGCGATACCCCGAGCCTGAGTTCTATCCTGTCGAATCCTACACTTGTTCGTAGTTTTATGGCCGATTGACCAATAGCTTTTTCAACGCATAGGCGGCTCGCACTTTGCCGCTCTGCGTCTTTGTTGTGCCGGGGCGTAAATGGACTACGAATAGGGTATAGATTCTTCAATCGTTCAAAACAATGTAGAGTGTGTGATTGATTATTATTATTATTCAGTCATTAAAATTGAAGGTGCTGCTCCTTTTAGTGCGAGGGTAGATGGTTCTATAGAAATACAGCATCTGAAAAATGGAGTTATGTGTTATAAATCAGACTAAATGACGGCCTTTACGGCGTGGGGCGTTCCCAGTGCTCGGACAACCAGGGATGCGATTGTTGATCCTGTAATTTGTAAAAGGGGCTAATAGGTTATTTGCCTGATACTTGTTGCAAGTCACTAAAATAGTACGATATCATAATTTGTCAATTCTTTAACAACTTATTGATTTACCTACTCAGCTTACATTTTTTTATTTTCACTTCACTTTACACTTATCAGTACCTCGCTGTGCACCTTAAAATTTCTTGGCGCACACATTTTGCAGTCTTTTTGCAGTGGGACTCGTGTTGCCTGAATAAAAAAACTGCACTAAGGTGTGCAAAACACTCTGATAAAAAAGTGCGTAAAAGCTTTATATGTAACCTTAATTGCCCTAGGATGCGAAGTTATCTTGACCTTGAAACAGTTTACAAATAACAAATGTGTATATCTGTATATTTGTTTAAGCACATAAAAAGATTTTTGCTACAAACTTCAGAATGATATAATTTTGAACCATGATTGTGTTTAAAATCATTGGCAAAATTCTATTTTGTTTACATTTTAGGTACTTAGAGAGAGCCGAAATTCCGCAAGCAGGCACTGCGGAAAAAGTCCTGCTCTCTAACATCCAGTGTGACGACTATGATTTTGATATTACGCAATGCAAAGCTGAAAAGATTTCTGTAGACTTCGAAAATTCATGTAGCCATGACAACGACGTTGGAGTCAGATGTTACAAAACATCTTGGGCCGGAGTTAGGTTTGGATCTCTCGCTGAACGGACCGACATACAATTTCTGACTATAGAACAGGCAGGACTTTTGGATTACGCTACCAGTACCTTCAAACCAGCTCTGCAACTGGACTTTGCACATCAGAACTTTGAGAATATCAGGATTGTCAACAATAACTTTCATGGACTTGGGATCATGTACTCGGACATATTTTCAGAGTCGGTAAATAACATCAAGAACTCTGAATTTTCGAATAATAGAGGTGCAGGCATTTCTTTGAAACAACTAGGGCTCACGTTGTTCAATAATAAAATTGAAAACAACTTTGTAGGAATTGAACATAATCCTACTTTGACAGGTCTGCAGCAAAGAGAACTTGGAGGTAAGCCGTAGCTTATCACTTGTTTTTAACTTCAGCTAATAAATTAGGGGCTTGCCCCATCTATGGCGCGGGATCTTAGATCCATTCATAGTGTTGGGGGTTTACCTATATAATTTGGAAATATTGAGGCCTTTCGTTGACTCTTGGTTCTGTTACACCTAGAGCTTCCTTAGATATATTTAGCTTTCAAAATCTGTGGGCATAAAGAAATAACAGCCCAATTTAGCGGGTATTTAAAGTAATAAATTGTTCAAAGTAATGGAAAACATGAAAAAATAGCTTTACTATTATAAGATTTGTATCTAAAAATTGCAGCGAAAATATATTTTTCAGGTTGGTTCTTGAAGAATGATGACGAACACAACTACTCGCCATTCCTGATCCCCCACAACTCAGACCAGAACGTTATAGAACTGCAACGGTGGGAAACCCAAATCATAGTCACCACCAAAGTCTATGGGGACAGCATCTCGAGATCATACAAAATACGATGTGAACCAGGTTGGGTCCTTGGACTTCAGCTACTCAATCCAATTGAAAACAGAAGCACTGAGGAAATCATCATCCGCGACTCCTTGTCATCTCGCTTTGATCCAGAAATGTTCGTAGTGAAAAGAGATTTGACGGTGTTTCCTCTGACCTCCAGAGGTCATGGAGTTATTTTAGACTACACAAGTGGCACAAACGCTTTGGGTGGTACTGTTATAGTACTGAATGCCGTTAGAGCACCTCTTCAAACCATTCCCAATCGAATCATAAAAGGCCCAGTGCCAACTTTGTCTGTGATACGTAGCACTATTAGAAATAACATGTTCGGGGTACAAGCGTCTTACTACAACAGGTACTTGGATGAGTTGGGAAACCACTTCTTGAGGAAGGCAAATGAAACCATGAAGTTTTTAAGCTGTGATATAAGGTTAGTATTGATAGGGTTTTATATGATACTGTGGGCCCGTACTTCGAAGATATTTATTCGAGTATATGCGCGGTAAAACGGGTGCATTTTTGATGTTAACTTCGCATGTTTCTATCTGGAGGTTAATACTTTTCGTCCGATTCTTTCATGGTTTGTATAGAGACGACTGAAAAACAGTGTTATCAGTTCCGTTTTTGTGCGCATCTTTATTCAATCGTACTTGCTAACAAATAATAGTACAGCTCTAACATTGTATGTGAATATTCCACTTTTCGGAATGGTGATTTCTTGTTTTCTTATCAGTTTCTCTCTACAAAATATCTTTGATTTTCTTGAAAACTCAATTTGCTGTAAACCAAGATTTTAAGAAAATCAAAGATTTTTCGAAGGGAAAACGTGATAAGAATAAAAATAATCACCCGCTCCGTTCTTCCATAAAAGTGTAATAGTCACGTACAATTTTAGAGCTGTACTAATATTTGTTAACAAGTTACGATTGAAGAAAAGTGCACAATAAAATGAGTTTTTGACAAAAAATTGATAATCGTTTTTCTCTATACACATCTGTGGCTCGACATCATCGCTGCTGAAAAATCGTCCCATCATGTAAGAGACGCAACAAAACAAAAAATATTCACTAATGTGGAGACTTGAATTGTTCAGAGTTATTTAGAGTATCTGGCTGAATATTGAAGTCCTCCAAAATTGGCCAATAAATTGGTTCCGGTTACAGAAAATGTCTTCCTTTACAGCGCGCTTAACCATCGGCCACTGCGGACGAATTGACTCATTCGTATAATTTGCATTACAGAAATGCCATTTTCCTTATAGTCCGACGTTAAGGCGACGCTAGAAGCAAGAATAAATATTAATGTTGTTACAGATCCTTATGTTAGTGAAAAATATTTAATGACATTCTTTTTAGCCATAATCAGCAGGAAGCGGTTTTTGTACACTCGCCAAACTGGGATTTACACAAAAGTAACTTATCTGAAGTGACTGTCATGTTTAATAAAACAACAATAACGAATAATGGAAAAGGAGTATTCCAGTTCTCACGAGACATGAGGTCTTCCAATAATCTGTTCCATTACGTCTTCCAGGATAATACTATTGAAACGAACAAAGGTGAGTTTTATCACAGATATATCAGAAAAAAGTAATGCAGTTCAGTGCTTCCAAAACACACTAATGTATCTTGACGAACAAAAAGCATGCTAGCGCTCATCCGGTTGCGATGGGTGGCCGAGTTCTGCCAAAGACCCGTTCATTTGGGCTGGTCGGAGTCCAGATCACCGAGGACTTGATCTGGCTGGCTCTTCAGTAGCGACAGCTGCTCAGAAAAAGCTAGGCTATTTGTTTAAAACTGAGAAGTACTTTTCTCCACATGACCTCCTCATTCCGCCAGATAAAAGCTAGTATTGCTCACACGTTTCGGGTGCTGCCGCCCTGACTATATTCATGATCGATGCTGTCCGACTGATCGATGACTATTCTCTAACAGAGTCTTGGGACCCTTTCACCCTGGGCGGCGGGCCGTCGGCGACCGAGCTCTCTTCTACCGTTACACCAACGGGCTTTGCTCCTCAGAGCTCTCCCCCTATGCCGCCATGCGATGTGCCTGCCAGACAGACCCGCCTGATTTCGGCTTCCCATCCTAACCGTGTCGAACTTTGTACATCCAGAACTGGCCGATACGACCGCTCCTTTATCACGAGGGTGTCGAGATTGTGGCAAAATCTACAAAAGGAGGCTTTTCCCAGTTCTAATAATCTTAGGCAGTTCAAAAATCGAATTAACAAAATTGTTTTGCGATTTAGGCTTTTGCCTGCGCGGTTGCCTCGGTGTAAAAAAAAAATTTTCATATGCAATCATGACCATCAGAGATAAAACAGCGCTTCATTGAACCGTGGTGTTGACATTACGGGAGCATTGTTAATAATTAATTATAAATATATTTGTTTGTTTGTTTAAGATTTATTTAGCATGACTGCTACAATTATATTCTTCTAAAAAACTAAACAATTACATAACATACAGACATACATTCAGAAAAAAAAACAAAATTTGCATCTCTAAGAATTTTCATTGTCCATGAAATATTCCTTGAATTTTCTTTTAAATATCTTTAAATTACAATTAGACTTTATATCTTTATTTAGTTTAGTAAATTCAAGTAATCCTTTCTGAAATATTGATTTGCTAGTTATATTACTATTGCAATTTTGTAAATGAAAATCTATATTTCCTCTTGTATAATAATTGTGGTAATGATTATTCAATTCTATGTAGTGTTCTAAATGCTCTGGCAAAAGATGATTTTTTATTTTAAATATAAAAATAAGAAGCAAATATGATATTTTTTATATTCAACCACTGCAATTCTTGTAACATAGATTTTATTTTGGTCTACTTATTTTTTTCAATATTATTCTCATAGCTTTATTTTGCAAGACTTGTAATTTTGAGAATACAGCTTCATTGGCAGTGAACAAGATAGTTGAACAATATAGTAAATGCGGTAGAATAATTGTATTATAAACTATTTTCTTGGAATAGGTACCAATACTATGAGAAGCCCTATAAAAGTAATTTATTTTTTTTGTCAATTTTTTAAATAATGTATTCATAGTGATACTCAAACTTTAGCTTACTATCAAAATATATACCTAAATATTTAATTGATTCAACATTTTCAATTATTTCTCCATTTATCCTAACTGTGATAGTATTTTCATTTAGATATTTCCCTATTAGCATACATTTTGTTTTAGAAGTATTCAATTTTAGTTTATTTACATTTAACCAATTTACGATTTTTGCCAAGTCAGAATTTAGCATTTTTAATCTATATTTTCATCTGATGTGTATATTAATGTATCATCTGCAAATATCTGAAGTTTACAATAATCTAAAATATTACAAATGTCATTAATGTATAAGATAAATAGTAGTGGACCTAGTTTACTACCTTGTGGTATACCAACAGGAATATTTTTTGATCTTGATAATGTAGATCCAATTTTGTTTTTTTGACTTCTGTCAATTAAATAGTTTTGTAGAATTTTGAATACAGATCCTTTATATCCGTAGTGATGCATTTTTGTAAGTAATTTATTCCTATCAATAGTCTCAAACGCCGTTTTGAAGTCCAAAAACACTGTTACTGTGTGTTTCCGATTGTCCATATCTCCTCGAGTCCTCTAAAACCATTTGTGTTGCCGTTTCAGTTGAGTGTTTCTTCCTGAATCTAGCTTGAAATTTGATTAAAATGTTATTTCCCTCAATAAATTCGATGGTCTGTTCGTAAATAATTTCTTCAAAAACTTTTTCAACATCTGTCAATGATTTCAACATTAATAGCGCCACGTTCTATTGAGTGCGACCATCGACACACTCAAGTTATTGAAACTAAGTAATAATACAAAAAACCTTCCTTATGGATCATTTCATATGTTTCAGCTGGGGGTTTTGACGTGGCTCTTCCCTACGTGTGGCAATATAACGAAAACTTCACACACTCCATATATATGGATAATAACACTTGGTCCAACAATAAGAAATTCGGTATCTCCATCGATGGCCACTTCGCTCAAGTCAACATCACCTACAACATCTTCAAAGACAACAATTGCCAAACAGGCTTGTTGGCTCTAAAAGGCATGGAGAAAAAGCTGCTTATAGCATACAATAAATTTACGAGCAACAGCGGAAAGTACATTGTGGAGTTCAGTTCTGACAGTCAGTCCGAGATAATCGGTATCGTGCCTGCTATTTTCATTTACAATGAGCTGAGGAATAACAGGTTCACAGTTAAAGGAAGAAGTGGGGTACTACAAGTAGACAGAGATCCCACATGTACTGTTGGTAAGAATACAATTTCTTAAAGTATGAATAATGATGAACGACATAACACTGACACAAATAGTCTGCTAGAATATTGTTTTTGTATTTATAGGTTTTAAAGGCATTCAGAAGGTCCGGGTGAACAGAAACCTATTCACCAGCAATGACTTGGACTACCAACTCTTAGCCGGGATCAAGACTGCAAAGATAAACAACTATTTGAATGTCAGGGAAAACTGGTGGGGAACTAACATTGAAAGAGAGATTCGAAAACACATTTTCGACTTCAACGACTGGAACGACCATGCAATAGCTACCTATCTACCGTATTTGTTGGAAGATGATTTCCAAGCGAGTTACTCAGCTTCTGTAGTTCCTAATACTAACATGGACATGGATAATCTAGGTAAGAATTACCTAGTAATTTGCAGGTTTACAAATTTTTTGATCCTCTAATGAAGGATAAATTGCAGACTATGCTCAAAATGAAAAATGACAAAAACAAACAATAGTGTTCCGAAAATTGAGACTTACCCTTCCAGAAACTGCTACGGCCAAATCACTGTTAATGTGTGGTGTAACAGCAGCGAAACAGTTAAAAAATAAGAAAAGTGTCTACAGTCCATTTGACACGAAAATTCAAGTACCGCCCTGTTCATGTGTTTTATACTGTTCAAAGTTATCCCGCTCGATTCAAAAATGTTAACTTTTCTCAATTTGCAACATTCGGGACTGTCCGCAACTGTGCCTACGTCAACGTCCCGCAAAAGGGCTGATTCCCTATTTTTTAAATGAAATAAACCAGCCAACACGTCGCAGGATGAAAACGCCCAGGAACGATATCTATACAGTCGCGAAGTCGCATCTGGAAGTCACTCACCGTAAACTAACATCGCATATGGGCAAGTGTATTTTTGCTATAGGAATGTGCCATTTTCGATTTTTCCAAATAAACCAAACAATTAGATGTACTTACACGACGTGTGGCGCAAGGCTTGAAAACTGTTGAGGGCAGTGTCATGGCTTTTCAAATAATTATTTTCTGGAGACACGTCAAGAGTGGTAAAAAACCTTCATTGTTAATAAAACGGCTAAACTGTCCGTAGAAAATTAATATTGTTAAATCATATATTTCCAGGTGGAATACTATCCCAAGACTTGACACTGAGCAACAGAGGTAGACCGTACATCGTCCGGTCGGATATTACAGTGTTGCCAAACGTCACTCTGACAATCTATCCAGGCGTAGTAATGGAGTTCGCTCCAAACATTGGCATCCTGGTTCTTGGAAGACTCATCGCAAAAGGATATGCCGGTAGTCAGATTGTGATGAGGCCTATAAGTGAAACCTCAGCTAATTTCAAGGAAAGCTCCATCAGAAGAGAGAAAAGGGAGTTAGAAAAGAGGGAGATGGAGAAGTTTTATGGACAGGAAGCTATAAGGTACGATCTTCCAGTTTGGACAAAAATGTCGGTATAACTCATGATAGCCCTCATATTGCATTTCATTGTGATTCAGTTTTTCCGCACAGAGTTACTTTTCATATATTCATGGCATTTAAGAATACTCCTGAAATATCCAAAATGCTTGCACTCAATTTGTTATGAACGTAGTCGCATATCTAATGTTTCTGTTATTAGAGATCATTCCTCTCTTTTTTCTTTATTTCACATACAGTTAGAACAGAAGTCGTTATAAATGTTGAAACCTTCAACAATTTGCTTACATTTAACTTTTAAGGCTCTGCAAGACTAGAGGTTGTGAAACTAACGAAGAATACCAATCCAACGAGGGCTTTCTAGAATATTTCAATGGAACTACTTTGCAATGGATACCTATGTGCGACTCACGATTTACGGAAAGAAATGCTCAGGTAATTTGTTGTATTTGAACTTTGCTAAACAACAAAGTATTGTGCATGAACTTTTGGGTACATATTTTGAAGAGCTGTAGAACAAAATGAACGTGTTTCATTATCGTAATACATTTTTAAATACGTATAAATAAGCACACAAACTTTTTAGGTTGTTTGTAGAGAGCTGGGTTTCGACCCAATGAATGCATTTTTCGACTTTGGAGAAAGGATCGATTTCCACAGTAATTCGCTGTCAAGAATATGGTCATGGCCAGAACCTTTACAATGCAAAGGTACAGAGAGTAAGTACGAGGATTGTCCCATAAGGCTCAATGGGCAGCAGTATGGTCACAGGCATAGATGTGAATGGAACTCCAAGTTCGTCTTCATACATTGTGACAAAAATATTGATAGACCAAGGTAACGATGCTCATAACTTAAATTTATTACGTCATACTTATTTAGTTTATTCATCAATTATTTTTTCTGAGGCTCGATTTTATTATTGATCGGTGGGATCTGAAATCTTGATCCTGGTCATAATAGACCAATGAGAAGGCATCTTTGTAGTAATGGACCAAATGAATATAGTATAGATTTCTTCTAAAATAGCACACAAACTATCGAAAAAAATATACGACGTATGTAAGAAAGGCCTCCAATCCAAATATTAAATCAAGAAACTCTTTCTAAATCCGCTAGTTTAGGTACAAAAACGTATTTTTCCAGTTAATCAGGAGATCAAAACTTATGATCCGGACAATGACCAACATTAGAAAGCATTTTCGTAAAGCTACATCGAAAATTGGCCAATCGGAGAGAAGCCTTTAATTATATAGTGTATGTATATAGTGCAATTTGTAGATAATATGAACCGATGTTTGGCACACACATCCTCTGTGTGTGTGTGCGAGATATGTATGCAAAACATTGGCAATCAGATTTTTAATAAAAGTATTTCAGTTTGCATATAACGTTTGCACGTTTCTTGGGGGAAAGAAATAACTTGGGAAAATCTTTATTATATTTGAAACCAGGACTACCTTGCATCGGTTCAACTGTCTAGTCACAGAACTGTACCGTGCTACCACATCCAATTGTTCAACGAAAAGTCGTAAGGCTGAAATCGAGTTATCTCCACAAAATAAACTTGGCCAAGAATCTTGATCTCCTGTTAGTGAAATCGGGCCTTAGAGATCATCATTTATAAGATTTAATACTTGCCACAAGCTATCCTGTCCTATCTAAAACACCACGATTATTTTACAGATACTGGGGCGGTATACGTTTTGCTGACGCTGAATTTGAACAGCACCTCTATAACCACCGTATTCATGACATTCATACCCATACCGCCCTGCAAACATACGAGTCGACTTTAGAATACGTCAGAATCTACGGGGCAGGCATTCTACACAATGAGAAATCATCTGCTGTACAAAGTATCATCCGAAGCCCTAAGATCCAATATATGGAAATAAAAGACTCTGCGTCCCATGGTATCGATTTGATAGCACCCGCAAACACAATGAATTTGCTCCATAATAAAGTTCAAGACAACTTAGGAGTTGGAATCAACATAGTGACTCTATCAGGAGAAGGCAGAGAAGCTGAAGAGTCAAGTTTCTCTCCACTTAAAGGCCTACACATTCCCTACAATCTCTTCAGTCTTATCGATATTTGCGACACTCATAAAGAAATAGTTGTTGAGGAACGTGTTTTGTTGTACTACAAATACGATAACCACCCGGTAAATTGCATCAAGATCTTCAGGAGCTTGTATAATATCAAGCCTTTAGCTTTGAGACTGCTTCAATTCGATCTATTCAACTCAACAGCCACGAAGTATAGCATTCCGGACTTCCTGCAAATGTACGATGGCGATATCTACAATATTTCTTCTGTGGTGATTGATACAGTAACTATGACATCTGGCAATGACAGAAAGTTCTTTAGGACTACTAGGCCCAGCCTTAGCGTGAAGTTGTTTGCAAATGGAGCCTCAAACGAACATGGATTCATCGCAGAAGTGGTCACTTTGCCCATATCTGCCATAGGATTCAGTAAGTACAGCGCAGTCCTTGAATCACTCAATTTACGTTTATACAGAATTTTCCCTAACTCAAGTATCGTACTGAGTGGTATTAGCGTAAATGACAACACTGGCCTGGCGCTGTTTGTCCAGCGGTGTTTGCGTTACTGGGGAGTAGAGAAGATCTCGAATTGGTAATACAGCTTTTGTTCATCCGACCCTATGGCCGTATAGGATTTTACACTCTGGGTAGAAGATAGTTACTCAGCTTTCGTTCGTTATCCTTCCTGAGACCACCCCTTGACCATGCTGATGAGTTGGCCAAATAGCACCAAACACCTGTCCATGGTTGGTCGTCTGTGCTCGGACAAATAAAAACTATATTACTAGTTTGTTCAACGGCGAGTAGGCCATATCTACTATAGCTCCAGAATCGGCGGCATCTAGCGGCCACAGTGGTGACCCGGCTGACAATGCGAGCTGGGATACAGTTCCAACAGACAGCTTGCTGTTTTCACTTTCGCAGTGTCGATTCCGATAACAGATGTCACTTCGTCTTATTTTGATAGAATATCTAGAGCTCTGTTGATATGTGGACAATACCCAACCAGTGTTGCCATGTATGCTCCCTATGATGCTGCAGTTGTGTAATCAGTGGTAACATGGCATATTGGCATCTATGATGCCTTGAATCATTTGTTGCAAATTTGATGAGTACTATTAGTTTTTTTAAATTTTTATAGATCGTGACGTTCAACACAATATATCAAGCTCTGTGATAAACAACAATGGCCAAAGTGGACTGCTTTACATGGGATCTGGTGAAGTGAATCCAATTGTGACGATAGAGAAAAACCAGTTTAGAAATAACTGCAGAAAACTGTATGGCAACTTCACTACCTGCAAATCGGCCGTTGAGATGGATGTGCAGAATACCCAAACTGTTTACTTCAGGGTAGGTTGTTTAACCAACACTATTTTTTTCCAGATAAAAATAAAACGTGAAGAGATGTTCGGACGATATCAATTATATGAGTTCAAAATCAAAATTAGCGAACTATAGATGAAATGTTGGCGCCAATGAATTTTATAGGAAACTGATTTTCTTATATTTCAGAATAATCTGGTGGATCAAAATCAAGGAGGTCTATATATCAAAGCCGACTCTCGTGGTTCAGCGACGTCTTTAAGAGGCTGGATCCACAACAATCTCTTTGTGAACAACACTAACCTTCCTACACTGTACATCGAAGGTCGAAAATCTTCCCCGTACCAAGAAGTTACCATTTACAGAAACTATTTCACAAGAAACTACGCCCAATACCACAATAACATCATTTTGAGACAAGTGGTGTCAAATTTTACTCATAACTATGTGAAGAGAAACGTTGGCTTGCAAAACTTGGAGGTGTCTGGTTTTGATGGTGTTAGGTTGAATATCTATCAGACCACTACACATAACGGATTTTACAAGTGAGTACCCCTTCTCCAACAGAAGTTTTGAGAATAAACTACGTAAAAGTTCAAAAATATTTTTCATCAGTTGAATCAGCCGAATCAATTGAATCTTGATAAAGGCAGTTTGTTGAGTTCTTGGTCAACGAGTATAAGAATGATTGAAATACTTTTCCAAAGGTGCTCAACGTCAACATATGAGATCTGTAAATTAAGTGATGAGACAGGTAACGTAGCATTCAATCTGGCAACATTGGAGGCGCCGGGCTAGGGGGGAGCAGGAGAGCATTTGATCCGCATCCGCCTTCACTACAAGTTTGAACTCGCTCGAGCCAGTTGGTTCTTCGTTACGTTTTTTTTTTGTGAAACAGTTTTTTCTATTGTGTTCTAAAAATGAGTGGCGTAAATTACAAGCCACGGTTTCAGACTGTGCAACGGAAACAGGCCTACGGAGATAGTTTTTTGTTGAGCCCAGGTTTTTCGGTCGCTTAAGGCATTTTCGGAAGGGAATGAGTCGATTGAAGATGGACCACGAAGCGGAAGGTCTTCATCTTTAAGAACCGATGAAAGTATGAACTTGTGGGTACAGATCGTCGGTTGGTAGTTGGAATGATCAAGGAAGAGCTAAATTTGACTCACACAACCGTTCATCAGGTCAAGAACAACTGGGTGTTGCATCACGATAATCCTCCTTGTCACACAGCAATGTCAATAAACGAGTTTTTTGCCAGTAAAACCATTCATGTGGCTCCTAAGCCCCCCTAGTCGCCTGACAAATTCCTGTGACTTTTATCCCTCCCCGAAGTTGAAAAATCACCTCAGCCAGCTGAAGGCTATTCCAGTAAAGGAGTTCCAGCACTGCTATGAGGAGTGGAAGAACCCTCTCCAGTGCTGTGTGGCTTGAGAAGGAAGTGATTTTGAGGGTGACAATATGAAATTGTAGTTAAATTTTGAATGCACAAAATTAAAAAAACCGGTTCCATCATTTAATTTATAGATTTCGTACGTGAATATAGGCACTCTGTTGAAATCGCTCCGGTACTGTGAAATATCTTTAAGCTACCAGTTGATACAAGACAAACATACGAAGATAAAAGAGCCAGTTTAGTATTTGGTGTTGGGATGCTACTTTTCGACATTGAAAAATTAGATTAGTTTTTGTCAAAAATTCACTTCATAATTATCATTGAAATCAACTTTGTTTATTTAGGTTATTCTATTGTCATAAAATAAAAGAACTTAGATGGTCAGCTTGATTTAGAAATTGACTTTGATCTACAGTATGATTTTCCAAATGTTTCCTGGAATCGTATATTTCATAAGTGTGTGAATGTATAGCTATTTTTGTAACCCTATTTCAAATGAACTTGTTTATTGTATAATATCTTCAACAAAGCCAATAAGTAAAAGTGAAGTTACTGCTGGTTGGTGGTGAGAGCAGCTTTATAGCTGATACCCGCCAGGTAAAATAAAGGCCTATTATTATTACTTACAAGAAATAGAATCACGTTCACAAAAAAGTTCGATATTCTACCACTTTATTTTTATAACGCAACCCACAATTTGATTTAACAACATTTGCTTCGGTTTTAGTCTAAAAATTGACCTTCAGCCGGACCCTAGTTATAGGTAATATTCCACAGTACACGTATATTTTACCATTAGAAAACGGCATTAGCCTTCGACTTTGTGCAAAACGAAACTCGGAACAAGCTTCTTGAAGCTATTTTTGTTTCTTACAGCAACTATGCAACTAAGTGGGACAGCAGGTCAACAATCGTTGCCGGAACAGCTGGACAGCATTACGTCGACAACATATTCTTTGATCCTGACAACGACTATGAGATGATCACTGTTAACAGATCACTGTGAGTATACCCTTAATCAAATATTTACTAATCATTTTTACTATGAAATAAATTCATGATAAAATATGAACTTGTTTTAATCAGTTTTCCGTCAAGCATTATCAACTTTCAATATTGCTTCCTCATTTTCTATTTGCTGCTATACAGAAGATTCATATACCAGTCGTAAGCAGTTAGACGTCTTACAGAATGGACTTTTTCAAATTCCAACATTTATTTTGTACAGATTATAGGCACATCTTAGTTACATCCATGCCATATTTCTTTTTATTGGCAAACCGTACATAAATTATCTGTAATCATACACTAGCTTAGGTACTTTTGGACACAATTTTAATGCAGATTTCTTTTGTTATGCACAGGTTTGAGTTTAACAGGTAAGACATGTGTCTCGTATTGTGGTTGTCTTTATTCTCATACTAAATCCACCACTCATTTGGTACAATCACCGTCTTTATAACCCAAATCTTTTGGGGCTTTGCTATTAGATTTTGGTTGATGGGCTTACAATGTTGTATAGTGTGTAGATATGAGGGCAAACTGAAGCGATAGCTTTTTATATTATTTTGTACACATCTCTAAACTTATCAACTCTTGCCATTAATTTTCTGACTGATGAAAACTAGTAATGTGCTGTTCCATTTAACATAACATAAAATAGTTTTCCTTTTACTTCCCAAGCCATCTGTCGGTCTGATTTTGAAGCGATATTACTATTAGGTCAAGGACGAAGAAGCTTTGTAGTTTTCGAAAATCGGTCCAGTGACAGAAGAGAAAAAGTCCAAAACTGAAAAAATAGTGTTTCCCATGATGTGGCTGCGGTACTACGTCTGAACAGATTAGGTATCAGGGAGAGGTGACGTTGTCAGATGGACTAATGATAGGGCAGGGAAATCATGTCAATGGACTTATTGTATAGACCTGTTTGACTCACTTCTCAGAGGGTCTAGTTTGTGCTGAACATAATCCTTTATGAACTGATATCGACGTTGCGTTCAAGTGCCATTTTTTGAATATCGAATAGAATTTATATAACCAGAAAACGATAATTTTATATTTAACCTTTGTAAACGAAAGAACTGCAAATCGTGTATATGCTTCTTTTTTATTTGCCTTTGTAATTTTTTTTGTAGATTCATCGTTTTGCTGGCTTTTCATATTGTATTATTAATTCAATAAGCCAAAGCTTTTCTAGATAATATTTTATTTATTATTATTATTCACCAGTGGCCATTTGTGTATTAGTATATAGATAAAGCTAAAAAATTAGACAAAGACAATAAGGCTAGTTCTGGAAATGTCTCGGAGTATCAAGACACAAGTCTCAGATAGCTCTATTAGGGAAAAAAATCTAAGCTATCAGCTGTTCCTTTCATTGATAACATCACAAACGTACGCTTTATATGGCCAATAACTAAGTTTTCTCCTTGTACATATATTACCCACCGGATGTGGTGGATCTTTTCCTTCCTACTCTAACATGATGTGAAGGGCTTCAATGCTTAATCTGTGTAGCACAATCTCACCTCTATCCTCAATAATAATTATATCTCTTTACCTAGCACATTTTCGTTGTGGGATACCAAAATCGACGCAGCGCACAATTACTGGGGTGTCAATATTTCTTTGGCAGTTAGAGGAAGAATAAAAGACCTAACAGATGACATAAGGCTACTGGAGGTGATCCATGAACCGTTCTATATGAACAACATGTCCATTTTGAATGGAAAATGTCCACCAGGATGGGACCCAGTGGGAGAGACTTGTTATATGTACGTTGGAGCACCTATGACCTTCTGGGATGCCAAGGCCTTCTGTCATGTAAGCATCTTTGTATTTAGAAAACAAGCAGTTGTCGAATAAACTTGAGGTAAAACAAATATTTGAATGATCATTTACTAAGAGTTTTATTTTTCCAGGCTGACAATGCTTCAATGCCCTACCTCTTAGGCAACATAAATCACCTGCCAATTTACGAATTTCTTAGAAAACAACATCAGTGGTACCAGTATTCAGATAAAGTATGGGTCCAACACATTGACAGAATCAACGAGTGCACCATTTTCGCTTATCAGACAGTTGAAGTTGAGGACTGCAACAGGCTTAGTCCTTTCATATGCGAAATAGGTAGGTACATATTAAATCCCCATACTTGTGCTGAAACTACTCGCCAATATCCTGTGACAGGGTTTCCATATTGGGGAGTTTTGCTTCTCTTGGGGAATTTTTGGAGGATATAATGTCCTTTGGATCACACGTATCGTGTATAGAAAGCCCTTCGATTCAAACCTTCCCCTGGAGGATTTTTTTGAAAAAGTAGCAAATCTGATGGATTTTTCTGCTTGTTCTGGGGAAAGGCTGTCCGACTCATCTGGTAACGCTGTGCTGCGAAAACACTTGTACTATTCAATCACAATGTGTCGAAAAACGATTTGTATTTGTCGAGAGTTGGAGTGGGTCATAGGAATAATTTGTTTATGACTTTTTTTTAATTTTTAGATCCAAAGGTCTCCATACGAATCCTGCCACTAGCCGACGACATAGTAACGATATCAGTAATAAGCAGTCTTTCACTAGCCATAATCCTGATTATCTTGGTGATAGCTTGTTGGTGGAGCAAATCAAAGTACAGGCAAGCTCAAAGACTAGAAAGGAGGAATAGTATCAGGCAGAGCCTGCATTCGTTGAGATCAGTCGGCTTGTCTCAAAGCAGTTTCGCCGATCCTGTATATAGGAAGAAAGCTGGACAACTGGTAAGTAATTTGTCGTATATCAAAATCAAGGGTCCACAAAGGGCACATCCCGCTTTTCAAAGATACTGGGAAAATGTCTGCGACGCCATGGTAGTTGCTGACCTTTCATAATGTCAATAAAGGCAACCCTCCTCCAACTATTTCTGTATTAATATACAGCTAATAAAAACAACTATACAAAAATCACAAGGTCACTTTACGACAAAAAAATCACAAATCACTTTCCATCACCCTTGTGTTTCTTCCTATTCAACTCCGCAACCAAATTATCGATCGAAACATTAATGATTTGGTTGTGCAGTTCCGAAGACAAAGTGCCCAAAACTTCCTTTTGTACCCATTGAACAAGATTCTTATGCATGATCCTTCTGTGCACCAAATCCACAGCCACGTGATAATTGAGTCTTTTCAGCACTTCTTTGTGCGCGTGTACCTGTCGTTTCCTATACTCGTCTTCTAACTAGAATTGAAAATTAGGAATTTGTTGTAGCGATAAACATTCGACTAACACTAGTCACCAATCCGAGTTAAGCAGGTTAAAAAGGTTACGCACATTGAAGGTCTCAAATAAAAAACTCCACGCGTTGTTACGTCAGTGGCTATAGACATGACGTTTGTATAACGAATGCGACGACGCTGTCTCGACATTACGGCCGCTAACTTAACCTCAATTTTCTCAATCGTTCCATGAAGCCAAATTTGACCATAATGAGAAACTATTCTCGGATGTAGAGAATCGAACCATTCATAGCAATGTAGATTGTCTAATCTAATTTTCCTTATAATTTTAGAGTTAGAGTTTTTTCCGCCATTTTGAAAAATGTGTTTGATCAAGAATCTCGAAAACCTATCCTATCTTAAAAATAAAATTGTCGTATAGTCAACAGGTTACGAGAAATGTATGGGTAAATGTACCTGTAATGATATTTTCGTTTATAATGGAAAAACTAGCAACCTAAGCGTCTAAAAACTCCTATCCTTTTTTGTGCAGAATACAATTTTTAAAAAGATCCTTTTTCTGACACCTTGATGGTTCTTCAAGTACAAAGAGCCAATGTCAAAAATTCATATACCAAACAGTCGAGCGGCATGCCCCGCACTCTATTATCTATGACCATTTTCTTACTACTACGCGCAGGTATGGAAAATTTATTATTTTCGAATATTTTGTCTTCACCATGAAAATTCAAGTCAGTTACTACCATCAGTCTGCCTTTTCGCCGTTTTGTCACTCCGCAACCAACGGTTTTAGTGGAAAGGGAGAGATGTCATAAAGCATTTTATACTACAATTCCTCTTCCATTAAAATTTTTCCAGTTTTTTAAAAAATATTACATCTTCCTTACTTGCACGTGGTAGTAAAAATATGTATTCACTTTAAAATGGCTTTCTTGGTCATAGATAATGATTATGAAGTGCGAATTTTTACATTTTTTATTTTTATTAATACTAGTGACGTTACTATAGTGGATACCAAATAAAATCCGATGCACGTCATAGGTGATGTCATTCATAAAAATCATGGTTACCAACAGTTGACTACATTCAATGTGACATTTCTACTTGAAGTTTAAATTTCCCCGTCTCGATTCGGTTGGTAGTGCCGTGCAGAGAAATGTGAGGTTGCCACTTCTCATTTGTTGACATCAGTTGCCATTGTCCTTTTGTCGTACTATTAGTTCTTTATTGTTTAGTTTGTGAGTTTTGCGCTATTTGAGCTTTGAATCGTTGCCTTGCCAATTAAAAGTTGTTCTTTTCAGAACAAAAGTTACTGTGAAGTGGTATAAAGTATCCAAAATGCCAAAACAACTTAACAGTCGGTGTAAAGAGCTCATATCAATTCTGGCAACAGCGCACAGCTCCAGATCGATGACGTGCATCGGGTTTTATTTGGTATCCACTATACCTGTCTTGCACAAGGTATAGATTTTTCCGATTTTTCCGACTCTTTAAAGCATATAATTTGAAAAGTATACGATTTTATATTTTTTTTATATTTTTCTGATAACTATTTTGACAAATGCTTCAGCCCTATAATGACGCCAAATTAACCTATTATTAGGAAGCAATAATCTAACGATACCACCAAAAACATTACTGTCGCCGAAATTGTACAAAATGTCCCTATTCATCGGGCTAATATCAAAAATGGACCAACGCGGACTCATCGACGAGATTGTTGTTCATAAAATTCGCGTTACAGGAATGTAATTTTTGTAAATAAGACAGCGCAAACCGTCATCTATCTTTATGTGACAGACCGACGTTAAAGCGATACTAAGTAGTTGAACCTCGATATGTCGCGTTAATGTACGACAGAAAGTTCTACAGTGTAGAAAGTTTTACCTGCAGCGCCACATTCTCTCTTTTAGCTGCAATCAACATCAACTGTCCATCTGCTTGAAATTGGTGGAGAACTTCTTCCTCTATTTGTTCGTGCAAAATCCTTTTAGCATCTTTCCGACCTTTGTTCCACTCTGCCTCATAGTCTGCAATCTGCTTGTCTAGAAATCGCGCCACATCGGGTCCCAGATATTTCACTGTTGCCCAACATATGATGGCCATCGATAAACCTAGGTAGTAGTTGTGTTCCAATACGTACTTTTCTTTACTCACCAAGTAGGTGCCAAATGTAACTAGAATATCATAAGCAAACTTCGATATCTCCGTCGCTACTTCATATAATTGTATCGGATTTGGAGAGATTGGAATAAAAACTCCGCAGGGATCAAATCTTGACCCAATGCTCATCACATTATTTATGTGATTCTGTTAATTGTAACAAACTTCTTTCTGTATGCCGAGAACTTGAAAATTTTCATACCTATTACAAGTATGGAGGACTGTCATATCTTACAGATGGAATTGGATAATTTCATATTTGGTGTCAAGTAACAAACTTGGTTTGAATGTAAAAAAGTGTAATGTAGTAAGTTTTACCAGAAGGAAAAGTCCGTTTGTCTTCGTTTACCCTATAGGCGATGTGGTACTTTCTTGTTAACAGAAAACTAAAGATCTGGGAGTTGTTTTTGACTGAATTTTGTTTTTTGTTCATGTTTCAGTGCCGCATCAAAGGCGTATGGATCCGTAGTGATAAAATGTCGGTCTTTCTCTAATCTTAAGGCTCTTGCAACAATGTGTTTGACTTTTATCCGTTCAAAACTAAATATGCGTCAATTATTTAGTATCCGATACAGGAGTGCTAGCTGCCCAAATGCAAGATCAAATGCAAACAATGCATAAAAAAATATAACAAATTCTTATATATATATATATATACATATATTAATTATTCTTGCCAATTGCTGGAACCTACATTTTAGTGAACTAATGTTAAACAATTGAATTTTGATATAGTTATTATAGATGAGTATTTTTACACAATAGTAGACTAACTTAATCATCAGACTGTAAGACTAGAGTACTTGTCATTAGGAATTGTTCATTTTTATAAAAAAAATTCACTTCATTTGATTTCTTCGGGCTTGAGAGAACGACGACAGCTCTTTCGAGAAAGTGAGATGGATCGTAAAAAGTGAGTCGCCAGCATCCCTGGTATCCCCATTACACCAAACATAAAATTGCGATTGAGAAAGTGCAACGACGCTTTTTGAAACTGCTCGCTTACAAGACTGCGACACCTATCCTCCTAGGAGCCCTCCTATAAGCATCTTACTTTTATATTTGAGTTAGAAAGTCTGGATCTAAGACGCAAATATAATTCTTTAAAAATTTTATATAAACTCTTGCATAATAACTTAAACGTCAGCGTAATTTTATCTAGTATTACTTTCTTTGTGCCTTGTTTGATAAGCAGAAATACCAAAATCTTCCATTGTGAGAGAGCTAGAACTAATTTGCTTCTAAAGTCGACGGTATTTGTATGAAAATTTTAATCAATTTCTGCTGTCTGTGATATACATTTTGACAGTATCTCAAAAACATTGAATTGTGGTCGTTTGTTCTTGGACAGAGAAATCACAGAAATGAGCTATCCTTTTCTTAATGTCTAGCATTTAAGTTTCATTATATGAATCTTTATTGTAAATGCCTGCTTTATATTTTTTCTAGAGGTTGAACGTTGATGCTCGACATAATGTCAAAAATCGGATAATATTTTTTTTGTAATCTGTTGTACTTTTCGATAATCCAAGTATTAATTATATTTTACATCCATTGATTTGTTTTTTTTTTCATTTAATTTGGCTTTAAAGTATGCCATGTAATAGGGAGACTGTGGGCAATAAAGACTATTATTATTATATGAACATAGGAATCCACTTGCACAATGAACACTCATTTCCATTTGGAATCTATTTAAGACTTATGATTCCTTGATAAAAAAGCTGTATCAATGAAATTGTCTAAAGGCTGGACTCCTGCTCTTGATGTATCAGTTCCACACATTAAAATACTGTATCGAATTATTCAGTCTCTTCCGTCCTCTTGACAGAATCCTAGTATAATTCGGTATGGGATTCAAACACTTTAATATCTTACTAATAAAAGTCCAAAATCCAGTGTATCCAGTCTTGGGAACGAAAAACGTCCACCATTCCACAGGAAAGCATGCAAAAAGCACCTCTCCAGGCGATCCTCTAGTGGGTCTCCCTCCTACCGATTTGGTTGGGCCAGAAATGTCGCTGCTTGATGATGATGGCCCGCCTTTTCCGGGAGGGGCCTTCCCATCAGGGGCTTTTGTCACGACTTTTGTTGGTTTTACGTAATCTGGGATACATGCAAGGTCAGACTTACGACCTTTTCTGGTCTGTGATACGTTCAAACCTGTTGAGGTCAGCACTACCTATAAAGATGGTTAGGGCTTGAACTTGAATTTATTTTAGATCTTTAATAATAGGTTTATATGTTTTGATAAGACGAGTTAAAATTAGTACTCCTACAGTTTCAAAATAATTTAATTTCAATTTCGTAAGACCTAATAGCCAATACCTCTGGATATGGTCTACAGTAACCTCACAACCTAGAATGATTTCTTTCACAGAATCTGTCCATGTCGATGCTCAAGAAGTGCGGTAGTAAAAATGTAAGAAAACAAACCATAACTTGATACCCTCACCCTTCCATCTTTTGAAATCTTTTCGCACTCCTTGGAGAGTCTGCTCGTAACTGACGCATCCCGCTCTCTCTCAGTGATTGTGAATAATTGCTTCTCACTTTCGTACGCTATGCGTTCTATTTCAGCTGTCGTTTTTTCTTTCACGTCCACCAAACGAATCTTTTCTTCCGGCAGTACTTTTGGCTTAACTTTTTCTTTCAGAAATGATCCTGCATTCACTTCTTTGGGAACTGATGATGTATCTTTTATAACTGGTACAAATTTTTCTCTTGGTTTCGGTATGAAAATTTTTTGTAAAGTGAACTGTAGTTTATCGAGCAGTTTGAATCTTGGTGACATTTTTGATGTTACGTAAGTTTACAAATAACAAATGATAAGTGGAGACAACAATTGTTCACGGAGTGTTTAAAAGTATACAGAAAAATGTGTCATTGAGAAAAACGTCTCATATATCAGAAAATTGCAGAAATCATAATTGTCGTATCTTCTGTTTTCTTCTGCACGCGTCTGAGTCGCTCGTACTTACAACATGTTTGGTTTTAGAATGGCGTATTTTTCATTATTACTAGTTCAACCAAATATCAATATGAACAGGCATATCTTATTGAAAAGTTCCCACATTATTTATTTAAGAATTATAAAAGTAATTTTGACCAAAGCATCTTGTAACATTGATAAAGTGCATTGTTTCCTCATAATTATAAAGGACACGAATTCTATGTGAGTTGTGGAGAAATCATATGCAGGGTGTTGTTTATTCATTTGAAAACTCAACACTGTTGGGAACAAGACTACTGCATCCTCACGTTGCCCGATACCATTATTAGACTACGTATTTTACGAACGACAAATGACAAAACACGCCCACTAAAGCTGACATAGTAATAGCACATAGTAATAATGTGGAGTTTTCCACGCGTCATTAACATGTTAACATACTGTGACGCAGATTAGACTTCCGTCAGCCTCTATTCCTTGAATCGAGGGAGCAGAATCACTGAGAGAAAGTGGGTGTTGTTTCTTGCGTTTTAGTTTCGCCATCGCTCATTAACCTTATATCTAAAGTAGACTTTTTTACACCGAAACAGCCGCGCAGGCAAAAGCCTAAATGCCAGGGCACCGCGGCTGCTATGAGGAGCTTAAATAAACTTTGTTAATCCGATTTTTGAACTACCTAAGTTTAGTAGAACTGGGAAAAGCCTCCTCATGTAGATTATTCCTCAATCTCGACACCCTAGGGACAAAGGAGCGGTTGTATCGGCCTGTTCTGGATGTACGAAGTTCGACACGGTTAGGATGGGAGCTCGAAGTCACACGCGGGTGTGTCTGGCAGACAAAGCCTTTTGGCGAAGCGGTAGAAAAGAGCTAGATCGCCATCGGTCCCTGCCGGTGCGACAGGGTCCCGAAACTGTCCGTTATAAAATATCATTGATCAGTTGAACAGACCTCCTCTGAACGGCATCGTTCATGGGATAATGTGGTCAGGGCGGCAGCACCACAAACATGTGAGCAATACTCGAGGATAGGGCTTATCTGGGCCTTGTACACAGTGAGGAGGTCTTGAGAGGAAAAATACTTCTTAGCCCAAAACAAAGCCTAGCAACAGCTGATGTTATTGGCGAGTACAATACTGTGTTTCGGAATAATTAAAGTGTAAAGGATTGTTGCATCCCCAAGCGGTGACGGTGTAGAGTGCTGTCATCTGCAAAGCTGTGGGTTGGATTGATCGCACAGGTAAGGAGGTCGTTTATATGCAAAAAGGACAATGACGGAGCCTAAAGCGATCCCTGAGGAGCACCCGCGTTGACGTTGAGGAAGGAAGAGGAGAACCCATCAATTACGATGGATATCTTGCGACCAGAGAGAAAGTCAGATACCTATCTGCAAAGCTTCTCTGGGAGGCCATAGGATGGGAGTTTGCATAGGAGGGCAGCAAGCCACAGCTGATTGCACCTCACCATAAGACTGGATGCGTCTATTCCACAATTTCTTTTTATAAATAATAAATAACCCAGAAACATTTTGCCGAAAATGGATGTATTCACAGACTTGTTTAACAAATCAACAGCTATCAGAAATTGGGATTATGTCCCGGAAAGCATTCCCTATACAGCGGTCTATTCTACTGCGCTCAGAAATCGAGGAGATCCCATATTAGAAAAAATAACGTTTCTTTTCCTGTCAATTACAGTTTCACATCAAATGCATGCTCAAATCCTATCGGTATCCAGATCAAAAGTCAAATTCTGCCATCCTTTAAAAATGAATGTAATCTATCTATTTCAGCTATAAGAAATTCAATGTTGCTTAAGTAGAGAAAAATGTCTCTTTTCCGATCACGTGAATTCTACGTTATACCGACGCGAAAAATATCTTCACACCGAATTTACCTGTTCTAAATTCCTATATCTCGTACTATCCGTGTTTAGACAGCTATACTGAAAACCTAATTCAAATCATCCAAAATAACGGTGTTCCTCTTTATTTTTGGACTCCGCAAATTTAATCATGTATCAGCAAAATATGCAATACTCAATTGGTTGAAAATAAATGACTAGGTTAAATAAACTACTACATCCATAAATCATTAGCTCCGTTTAAACCGGCTGACTTGCGAAAAAAAATTCATTTAACAATGATATTCATTCTAGACCAGTTTCTTCTTTACCGCAATAATTGTGTAAACTTTTCTACTTTGTGGCGTACATTGCTTCGGAAAGTATGCCAATTTTTCGCTTTATTGTAATAATTCATTACTAAAGATTTTGTTAATTAAATTTGTTGAGAATAAGATTTCATTATTATTAACATCTGTTAGTGACTTTTATGGCTAAATGTAAAAGTAGCAAACGCTAAATTTCGCCATTTAAGCCTTACCTTAGCTGCATCACAATGTTATTATAAATAAAATAAAGACGCCTATTATTATTATTTTCCAGAGTACGAGATCAACAGACACATTAACAAAAAGAATGGTAGCTAACGGCTCTTTAGACTCGATGGAAAAATCTGCATACGGCTCCTCAATCGACGAAAGCCAATCGTATGACGTGTATGCTGCTCACAACCCTAACCCAACAGCATTCGCTTTCGTAGAAACAATAGAGTACCACAAATCCCCGCAAAAGTATGAGAACCACTATGCTAAGCCGGACAACTTCAACTTGGCATACAAGAACGAGGGATTCAGAGAAAACTCCACCTTCGCCACGAACTCAAGGGCTGAGAGTGAGTTAGAGGAGGAGGTGCCTATCATGCACACAGAAAGCAGCGGGTTGTCATACCCGCCTAGTGAGTACTACAACAATGATACTTTGCCATTGAGGAGCGAGAAGTCCGATTCCACCTTGGAGATGAAAAAAGGTAAGGAATTCATTGTTGAGGAACGCCTACCTTTACCTTTATAGAGCATATTGTCTACAAAACTTATACAGAAGTGTTTTCAGAATGTTGTAAGGAAAATTTAAGGTCAGATTCCGCACGTAAAAATACGTTGATGGTTCATTAATCATTGGCCCGAAAATTCCTCTTTCCATGATAGAACATTTTGAAGGACCAGAGTGATTGGCTCTTTAAGAGCCCAAAACTCGCAATTTTGGCATTTTTGTCCAAAATTCACCCATTTTCAAATATTCGACTTATCACACTCGTAAAAAAAATCAGGGAGCAAGAAAAAAAACAAATTTTTACGTGATTTTTGAGAAGCTGTATTCTAGTGAAACATGGTCGTATCTACTTAAAAAAAGCATTTAGATACTTTAAGATTCTAGTTTTCAGGCTTCTTAGCCGAAACATTTTAGGAGAAACGCTACTCATGAGATCTTAAAAACAGGATATTGAAGTTGAATAAACGGGGTATCTGATCCATCTGATGGCCTGACAGAAAAAAATATTTGCAAGCCGCGCATGGACTAAAAAGAAGGCAAAAATTTCGCATATTTTTTTCTTACGCTGTTAGAATTGCAAGAGAACCGTTGTTCCTAAATTTGTTTTTGAAGCAAGCCTGAAAATTAGAATCTAGAAGCTTAAAAATGCTTTTTTCAGTCTAGATATGACCATCATTTTTCACCAAAATACAGCCTGTCAAAAATCAATTTTCTAGCTGCCTTAATTTTTTTAGTAGTATATTTTTACATTAGCGCATGGTCGCAACACTTACACTTACAAATCTTTAATAACAGGCACAGAATATACAGGGTGAAACGGTGCAGTGATACAGGGTCACGAAATTATAATTTTGAAATTTAAAAAAGTATATCTTTGGAGTGGATTAAGATACTGATTTAAAATTTTGTACATATACTACTGATGTCATAACCAATACATTCAATGATTTTCGTACCTTGGACGATACTACTGGCGTGGAAATTGGGAAATTTTGTCCGATACTGGAGAAAAAAGAAAACGATTTCTACGCCTGTGACCTTTTTGGAACATATATTGCATTTTTGAATGAGGTATTCAATTTTACATGAATCGCCTTTCTTGAGAAATGTTTGCCGTACTAGTCCTTTTTGAAAAAAATTTGGTTGTATATTTGATGTACAATCAGTAATGAAAAACTTATAGTTAATGAAATTTGACATTGGAAATTTTCCTAACTTGACATGGCATTATTTGAACAATGGTCATGTTTATTCAACCTCGTCTGTATCGCAGAAATTTACAACACCCTATATCTCGGGACCTATGCTTATGATGAATTTTATGGATATTTTTGAATATACTTTCTACCCTAGATATATTTCCACGTTTTTCTGAAATACTCTGTATAAAAATAAGTGTTGCTCTACTGCGCTCACATTAAAAATAAAAGTTGAAGTCTTATTATAATTGCATATTGCTTTGTTTGAGCTTTTGTTTTTTAACTCCGTTGAGAAAAGATTCTCTTGTAGATGTTCATTTTATTTATGAAAAAAATGCCAGCGTGATTACAATTTTTTAACAACGATAAACAGTTTCACGTTCTTGTGAATTAAATACTTTTTTGCGAAAACGATGCACCTGAACTAATACGCTCCATGAGGAATTTTTTAGGTAGAATCAACTGAGATAATCATACTATTTTTTGCAAAGTGGCCGACTGTTTTTCGTTAAACATAGAGACTTGCCGGCCATTGATTTTACTTAGAAAAAACAATGTTGTACAATGCAACATTTAATTTGCATTTTTTTATGAAAATAGCGTCTTGTTATTGACTGGATTCTCTAGAAGAAGTATTAACCTCTTGAGAATTTGCTGGTGCGCAATGTGGAAGTTCCGAAAATTATAACGCTGTCAGCGTCATTCTTTGTAATATGTTTGATTTTTAAACATTTAGAATCTTAATATTAACCTCATTTCGCTTGCAGGCATTGACGAATTCAACAGGACCAACTCAAACAGAGGCCTTCCTAGCGCGAATTCTACTTTCATACAAGAACTCAGAAGCAGGTTACCGCAAAAACCACCCACGCCCCCAAAATCTTCACCCACTTACTCAGACCAACTGCATGATCTCAACTATTCACCGGATTTCAACATTGTGGCGCTACCGCCTGCTACGGATAGACCTCAATCCGCGAATATTCTAGAGACAGACTTCGATGAGCCTGTACCAAAGCCAAAACCTAGAGCTAAAAGTGAAGTGCTTCTAGAGACGAATTTTGATTATGTGCCTAGTGACAGTCATCATGAAGTGGGGTTGCCTATTTCAGATAGTAGTAGGAGTAAGAGTCAGCCGTTAGAGACAGCTATGTAATAAGTTGATACGAAATGTTTTCAAAATATGTTAAGTGAGATGAGGCTGTACTCTCATATCTTAATGGTTTTTGAACAGTTACACTTGTGCATTTTGATATTAACATTTATTATGCTGAGCTTCTGTGAAAATCATGAACTCTTCCATCCAGTTAAAGCTATAGTATTCATATGATGTTTGTGAATTTCAGCATCAGCTTCAGTCAGATTCCTTATGTGTATGAAATAGCATGCCATCAAATGACATCACTTTCAGATGAAATACAGCTAGCTAAAATATTTTGTGCTTTTTTGGTGTACAAACTGGCACTGATTTCCCTTATTATTCAAAAGTTTCATCTATTTAATTTGCACAGTTCCAGGCAAAGCAAATAATATGAACACTTGATTTTTAAATGTTAATAACAGTTAAGCATATAATAGCATTATTATTGTTGAATCAAAAACAAAAGTTGATTAAAGACACGTACCCATTTACATCACATATTTTTTACAGATATCATATATTGATCAAAAAAATGCAGCATAATAACGATTAAAATCTCTGTCTACACTAATATATAGTTAGGATTATTTTAGGGTTGTATAATTTAAAAAGGAAGTGGTATATGCCATTTTTGATTTATGATTCGATAATATTTGTTTTATAAAGATTGAAATCATCTATTACTGTTACTATCAAGTGATAATAAATCCGTCAAAAATGTTAAGAATATCCAAGAATACTATATAGATAAATGCTATAATGCTGCCCATATTATTTCTCTGCTGTGTAGAAATAAAAAATATTTTAAAAGTTTTAAACAAAGCTATCTTGTTTTCATATTAAGACACTACACACCAGGTAAGATATATTGTGATACTAGAGAAAGTCTATAAATATACACTTTCTATATATTTATCATATGCATATGCTCACGTTTTTAAAAAGCAGCTATCAACAAAAAGTAACTTTATAAAGTATATTTAAAAATACACTGAGGCATAAGGTTCTACTTATAAAAATATTAAGATTTGTTTCAATAGGAATATTAAAAGGTTTAGTTAATTTTTCTGTATATATCCAAAGACATTTTTACATTTTTACATGTTGTATCATTAGTTATGGTTGTTAAAGATGTACATATTTTATTTTAAACAAAATGTGGGATTTGAAGTACTACTAGTTATAGAAATATGTTAGTGAAATTGTAATTTTAAATATTTAGAATGTATGTTATACAATGGTGTTCAAATTGCACTTAATTGTTAGCGTTTTTTTTAATCTATTATTTGACTGATGATGGAATGGATAGAATGGCCTTGAACAAAAGTTATCTATAGATATGATATTTTTGTACATATAATGTCTTAAATCTTAAGATCTCAAATAATATTAAAAATAATTTTACATATTTAAGTAGACTTTTTTTGCCCAATCTGAACACAATTTCAGCAATTCTGATACACTGGTAGAATGTAATACCTTCATGATTTATTTTTATTTTATCCCAATTTCCCGTGTGTAGTGGTGGTGGTCACATTAATAGAAAATATTGGAAGTCTTAGTCAAAAAGCAGGTACCACTGAAGCAGTGTCCAGACAAACAAGAGAATATATATATATAAAATATCCCAAACATGCTCATATTTTTAAAGAACAAAAATATTTGTCACTGTTTAATGGTAATATATTACTTAAAACAACTTGACAATGCATTGTCACCACATATCTGTATTTGTTGCTCAAGTGTTAACCATCTTCTGCTGCTTCTTATCTAGTTTCAGCTCTAAGTAAAATTGATATTTCAACTGTTTTTGTACCTTTGTGGGACTTTGAACATAGGTCCATGTCCAGGTACAATAAAATCAGCAATCTGCAATATTTTATTCCTGTTTTTAATTTGCAGTTCTTCAGAGTCGCTTCCTGCAGATTTCCACAAGTATTCATTCTCTAAATCCTCAAATTTTTCAAATAGATCACCAGTTACAGCAATAATTCCATTTTGAGAATTTAAGATAACTGAAAAATGATTATGATCAAATATTGTAATGCCATTCTCATGTGGGATAAGTAGACTTTGATATAATGTAAAAATTGGATTACTAAAGTTTTCTATTCATTTTGTATCATTGTTGATTATGATTTTTCTAAGAGAACATGGAATTTTAAAGTCCCTATCATTTGGTTAAGTATGAATGGCCATGGGCCAGACTTTGCCATTTGTAACTTTGCTGTATGTATTTATTACAATAAAGTGATTGAACTCAATTAAATTGTTTGTAAACTTACCTGTGACATCTTGCATAGTATGTCCAGGAGTTGCTATAACCTTAATTTTATCACTTATAACATACTCTTCACCAGCTTGGAAGCAAGGTTCTGTGAAATACTGGTCTTTATGTGAAATACTAAACCCAACAATATGCTTGGCATTCTTAAACAAGTGGTTGCACCCAATGTGATCTGAATGTCCATGTGTGCAGACCACATATTCTATGTCTTTGCAGTCTACAGATTCAGCCTGAAGAGCTTTAAGGATCTTTTCGTCATCCCAAGCAGTCAGTGTATCAATAATTACATTTGGGGGCCCTTTTACTAATACACATGAACAATTTGCACGGTATATGTTGTCTTTAAGTTCTGAGTAACCATCAAAAAGGACTTTCACTTCCATAGCTCCTTGATATGCTACTTAGTTTATGATGGAATTAAATAATATTCACATAAATACGTCGTGAACTGTGAAAGAAAAATATAAAAGAATCAAAGTGTAAATATAAACAAACCCCTTCAATTATCACATTGACACGGAACACAAATAATAGGAAGAAATGCATATCTGTGAATTTGAAGCAAACATAACGCGGTTTTATAAAAAGCTCACGTGACCCAGACAATCCTTTTTATTGGTCAATTTATCAAGAATGGCATCCTTCAAACCTGCAGTTGATTCGGAAATTCAAGCTCGTAATCCGGTTCACATCTAAATAGTTTTATGTTTGAAGGAATGTTGACGTTATTCAAAAAGTGTGGTTATTGTATGTTTACCGCCAAATTTACTCGGTTCTTTGTCAGAAAAATTCAAATTACATCCACTGTATTATTATTTGAATTGGAGCTGTTTATTTTACAGGAGCAAAATGGTTAACAAACCGATCAATAGAATGTACGTTCTTAAAAGAGGTAAGTGAACCACATTACTTGATATCTGCGTATTTTAATACAATTCTTAACAGATGGAAGGAAAGAAGAAATCCTACTGGACAAAATCACATCCAGAATAAAGAAACTTTGCTATGGCCTAGATATGGATTATGTGGAGCCAGTCTCAATTATGTTGAAAGTGGTTAATGCCATACATCCTGGAATAACCACTGTGGAACTAGATACTCTTGCCGCAGAAACAGCTGCATCTGTGAACGATCATCCTGATTATGCCACACTAGCTGCAAGAATTGCTATTTCAAATTTGCAAAAAGAAACCAAGAAACAATTTAGTGGTAAGTACATCTTACAAGATTTTTTCACCCTTTCTTGAAGGTATATACCACAACTGTTGAAAAACATTGGTAGCCAGCCAAATTATGTTTAGTTCCACCTGAATCATTGCACAAATGAGCTGCTTTCCACTGTATGAATGATGACATATAAGTCACTCAGTAAGGCAAAATATTGCATAATCAGTATTTACTGTCTTAGTCTTTAGTAATTTAGTATTTATTGACCAGATAAAGCATCAGTAATTATTATTATTATTATTATCATAATGGTAGGTATAAATCCAAATACTGATGGTATGGTTCTTACTAGATACTGACTGTGTGATATTTGCATAATGTTTAAGAGTCTGTCAAATCCTGTGGTAGTCATATACCCTTAACTACATATTTTTGGATTGTCCTATCATCCCAATATAATTATTGGTTCATTGTGTTGCTCTGCACACTATGGCAGTTGAGGATTGTATCACTCTTTGGGACTGTGTAACTTTTGAACCAAAAGCACTGGAAACTTTCTCAAAAAGAAGTATAAAAAATATCAATTTTAATCCAAGACTATTTTTTGAATAAAAATGTACTATCAACCATTTATTATTAATTTTCTTATAGAGGTTATCGATGATCTGTACAACTGCTATGATCGTCAGTCTAAGAAACACAACCCTATTATCTCAAAAGAACATCATGACATCATCATGCAAAATGCTGACCGTTTGAACTCTTGTATAATCTATGATAGAGACTTCTACTTTGGGTATTTTGGATTCAAAGTCCTAGAGCAGCAGTTTCTTAAACGGATCAATGGAAAAATTGTTGAAAGACCTCAGCATATGCTCATGAGGGTTGCAGTAGGTAAGTGATAAGCACAAATTGCATATATCCACTTCTAAAGCATTAAAATATGTGTTGTCACTTTAAACAGATTTAAGCACAAATATTCCTTTGAGTCCAATACAACTTCATAGATAATTTGAGGATCTCTTTACAGGAATTCATGGAGAAGATATAGACTCGGCCATAGAAACCTACAACCTGCTATCAGAACATTTTTATATTCATACGTCTCCCACATTACATTCAGCTGCAATGCTGAAAGCTCAGTTAATATCTACTTTTATAGTAATGATGCCTGATGACAGCATTGATGGAATATTTGAATGTATTTCCAGATGTGGGATGATCTCTAAATATGCTGGAAACATTGGGCTCAACATCCATAATATCAGGGCTAAAGGTATGGCTTGTACTAGCTACACATAAGAATGATGTATTAGTACAACAAATAGGGTGAATGTGCCAGCGGTTGCACAGTTGAGACAAAAGTGGAATACAAAGTGTAATTATGAATTTTGTGTTTAAGATAACTCAACTAATGCTTTTGGAGGTGATCTTATATGTTGTTAACTTTTTGAGAACAAAACATACATTGCCAATAGATATTCCTGTAATTTTATAAAAAATATTAACCAAAAAGTTGTTATTTTGCAAGTACATGGACAGGTGCTACTAGTCTACTGGTAGTTTCCAATTGTCAGACAGCATTTGATTGGCGAGTGTTGAACAGAACTGTATTTAAAAATAGTAGAATAGGAATTTCAAATCAGCTGTCATTAAGACTTTGAGGAAAAGAAATTAAACACACTCATACTGGGTCCATTTAATATGGATATTTTAATTGAAAATACAAAGTAGAGGTAAAAATGAATTATTTCCTCCATTCCAGTCCTGCACTATCGACTTTGAACTACCATACTGTTTGCATATTTCAAGCAATTTGCAACATTTCTCACAGCTTTGACTGTCTCCTTTACCCTGCCTTCACTAGATATACAGAATTTATCTTTTTCTTGACATCAATACCTGAATGAAGTGGAAATGTGGCCAGTTATTGGGATGCTATGAAAATTCATTCATTCCAGTAGTCGGACGCAATATCACTGGCCATAATCCACATTATTTATCTTTTGCTGTCTGTTCACTGTATCGGGCTTCATATTTTAGTTTATTTACATCCAAGAAAAAAATTTGATAATTTGTATGTTTAAAAAGAAAAAGATAATTGATAACTACCATGCAAAACAAGCGTCCGAATATTGGATTTTGACTAGTATGATGATCCAGTCAGTGGCCAATCGAACTTGACATCAAAATGTTAAAATAATATATTTTAGTTCGTGAATTTTGAATGTCTTGTTCATATGTAACAAGAACAGTATTTATGTATTGTCAACTGACGATTCTACTTGCGTTTAAAGTTTATGTTACTCACTACACAAATGACGCACTAATACTGTTGTCAATATGACAACTGTGGATGTGAAATTTAAGTGTTTTTGCAGGTCTTGGCTTTACAACTGTTATCTTGTCAAACAAAGAAACTCATATTTCCAAACTTCTTCAAGCGAACTTGTGAAATCAAGAGAAAAATCTGGTATTGAGTGGGATTGAACCCACAACTCCTCAATCTGCTGACATTAGACTACCGTTTAGTTGTGGCTTAGGTGTATGATGGCATAACCTAAATGGCAGACAGGCCGGGTCGGTTTGGAATAGTCGAGTTATAGATTCGAGTCCCCCTAAAACCAAGATTCTTTTCTTGCGTTTTTCAACTCTAAATGGAAACTTTTACAAACAAACATTTATGAGACTTGAATTTTTACATAATTACCTGTAACTTATATTATTAGGTACCTATATTGCTGGTACAAATGGTGTTTCCAATGGTGTAGTACCAATGCTTAGAGTCTTCAACAACATGGCTCTATATGCGAAACAGTATGACACCGGGAGACATGCATCAGTGGCTGTTTATTTAGAACCCTGGCATGCTGACATATTTGAATTCTTAAATTTGGGGAAGCCGACCGGCAAGGATGAAATCAGGTTTGTATCTGATTAAAATACCAAAGAAATTTATAATAACAAGAATAAAATATCAAATATATCTCTGGATTGCCGGTATTTACAAAGTGATGCTTAACTAGAAAATAGATATATGTATTTTAACAGTTATTTGAATGAATTATTAAATATTTCCTGACAAAGCTCAGCCAGATTGTATTTTAATTTTGTAATTTTTTCTGTTTTTAAAAGGGTTAAGTGGAAGAATAGCCGACGGCTAAACTTCGGCCTAATAAAGACCAGTTATTATTGTTATTTCTCCTGCAGTTATATTTCATAGTTTACACAGGGTTTTCAGTGGGAAAGTTCACTTTTTGATTTGAGAAAAAAAATACAAACTTAATTGAAAGAAAATATTTATTACTATCAACATTTTCGTAAAATCGGCGGGTTTTATTTCTTAATCATCATTCCTTCCAAATGTTTGCCATCCCTTCTAATGGCGTGCGCAAATTCTGAAACACTCTCTAGCAGAGTTCCGGAGTGATGTTTATATCTTGTCGCATGTTGCCTTTAAGCTCCTTCCTCCAGTGTTCGTGGATTATTGGAATATACTTTTGTGACCTAGGAGGCCAGTGAATGTCTCCAAACTTCGATATAACTTTTTGAGGATAAAGTGCTTTCACTGTGTCCATCGATTCTCTGGAAGTATGGGCAGTGGCCCCATCCTGTTGAAACCATGTGTTTCTGTTAAATCGACGTTCTGTTCTTACAATAGAAGCACAAAAAGTGATCATGTCCTTGTATCGCTTGGAATTGACTGACAATGCATGACCGTTTTCATCTTCAAAGAAATACGGCCCAATAATACCGCTAGAGGATATGGCGCACCAAACAGTCACCTTTGGACTATGTAGCTGTTGTTGATGTTTCTCTTTTAGGTTCGTTGGTGCCCAATATCTGCAATTTTGCTTGTTCACATAACCGTCTGAGTGAAAGTGGGCCTCGTCACTGAAAACAACGTTCTGCGCTGCGTAGGAAAAAGATTCAACATCCCTTCAGCACAAGATTTCCGTAATACGTCATCACTTTCCTTTAAAGCATGGACTGATTGGATTTTATAAGTCTGAAAACCCATTTTTTTTTTCTTCATTAGGCCATGCAGTGTTGACCTAGGGATTCCCAAAGCAGCGGAATGCTTCCGTAAAGAATGCCGAGGATTTGCAATGATTAGAGCCTGTTTCACGGAATTTCTTAATCCACTTTTTCAATAGGTTCTTGCTTCGGGCATCTCTTGGTCAACGAATGCTGTATCGTGAACAAAATTTATGAAGAGCAGCTGCGTACGAATCACCACTCTTAAAGTAAGCCCCGATAGCAAAAGCACGTTCCATTGTGACTATTTAACCCGCACGCCAAACGCGTCGACCAAGACCTCTCCCCGCTTCCTCGCGTATACGGTTGCCACGTAATCCAAATTTGAAGTGTGAACTTTCCCACTGGAACTTAATATCTATCATTGTCTATATTAAATATCTAAAGAATTTTTGGGTTCATGAATTGTTAACTCATTTTAGGGCGAGGGACTTATCATATGCTCTCTGGGTGCCGGATTTATTTATGAAAAGGGTGGAAAGTAGTGGAGTTTGGTCACTGATGTGCCCACATCAATCTCAAGGCTTGGCTGACCACTATGGTGACGAATTTGAAGAATTATATGAAAGGTAGGTGCAACTATATCTTCCCTTGTTGAGAAACCCTGAAAAAACATGTTTTGTATCGACTTTTTGAGTTAAAGAATTACGTAAATGCTCTTATCACATCCAGAGAATTATTGTTGTACACACAAAAATGGTGATGTTATCGTGTTTCTTTGTTTTTTTCTAAAATTTCTTCGACCAAAATAAGTTTAATTATTACTATTTTTTTACAGGTACGAATCAGAAGGTAGATTTATAAAACAAATCCCGGCTCAGGAACTGTGGAAAGCCATCATAGTATCCCAAGTAGAAACTGGTGGTCCATATATCCTGTACAAAGATGCTTGTAACAGGAAAAACAACCAAAAGAACCTAGGTACCATTCGATCTGCGAACTTGAGCACTGAAACTGTGTTGTTCTCATCGCCAGAAGAAATACCTGCTTGCAGTCAAGCCAGCATTGCAGTGCCAAAGTTTGTGAATGTGGCCAAACGGAGTTTTGACTTTGAAAAGTTGATGGAGGTTACAAGAGCTGTGGTGAGAAACTTGGATAAGATTATCGACGTTAGTTACTATGCAATGCCTCAAGAGAAAAGTTCTAATTTAAAGCACAGGCCTATTGGCATCGGAATACAAGGTAAGAGTTCAAGGATTTTGTCTATGAGTAATCCAAAGAAAACCACTTTCATTCCATTTCTGCCGCGCCCTGAATATGGTAAATGATTATCTGATGAACGCCACAAAACCTACTATGGAATATCTGAAAATTATTCTTCCATTTGAAGTTTTTGCGCGATTACTGTTTAAATTTTGAGGGATATGTATGGCATATAAAATTTGCAGTATAGCAAACATTTGCCATACATAATATATTATCTCAAGTGATGCTTTCAAGCAATGACTAAATTATTACTTTAAAAAGCATCTCGCGCAATATCTACTTGAATGTTTCAAAAATCAATCCTAGTAATTTACTAAAAGAAGACTCCATGTATATGGATAAAACAATGAGATGCAAATAGAAGTAAAAATATCAAGCATAGTTGAGTAGATATGATTTGTGGAACTTCCACCAAAAATGTTTTTGGTTTGTTTGGTGTTTTGTTCACTTCAAATATACTACGCTGTGATATACTTCACGTATTATTTATTGTGATTCTGATTACATTTTTGATCTTAATTCATGGTTGAATCAAAATACTAAATAAAATCAATCCCATTCACATTAATCCAAAACGAATGACCCCTACTTTAAACTGCTTCCACGCGAGCAGGGCCGCGGGTTTACTAATGAAATAAAGTCTAAATGAATTTTGCTAGTTTCACATGGCCAATCCCAAAGTTCTTTTCCATTACAGGTCTGGCTGATACCTTTATTCTCCTACGAATGCCTTTTGACAGTCCCGAGGCAGCTCATTTGGATAGACAAATCTTTGAGACCATCTACTTTGCAGCTTTAACAGCGAGCTGTGACTTGGCCGAGGTCCATGGACCTTATGAGTCCTACAAGGGCAGTCCTGCTAGCAAAGGAAATTTGCAGTTTGACATGTGGGAGGTGACACCTACTTTCAACTATGATTGGAAATTACTGAAAGAAAGAATAGCTAAACATGGATTGAGAAACTCCTTGCTGGTATCGCAAATGCCTTGTAAGACTGGAGCTGAAATATTGGGCCATAATCCTTCTGTAGAGCCATACCAGACGTTCATTTCTGGTAAAGGAGATTTGCAAGTGATTAATCCTCATCTATTGCGCGACTTGACTGAGCGGGATATGTGGGACGATAATATTAAATCTGAGATTTTAGCGAGTAGAGGATCAATACAAGGAATTGCTAGAGTCCCAGATGAACTCAAAGCCATATACAGAACGGTGTGGGAGATTCCTCAGAAATCCATCCTGATGATGGCAGCTGATAGAGCCCCATTTATTGATCAAAGCCAAAGCATAAACATACATATAGAGAATCCATCATATGGCATTTTATCGTCCATGCATTTCTACGGCTGGAAGAAAGGTCTGAAGACTGGCTTGTATCATCTGACGACTAAATCTGGTATCAAGGTAGCCCAACCAACAGTTGCTAAGGAGAAAACAGCAGTGAAAGAAGAAGATTTGGCAGAAATTAAGAGGAAACAGGATGAAGAGGAAGAAAAGAATTTGGCTAGTTTAGTTTGTTCTTTGAAAAATCCGGAAGCTTGCGATATGTGTGGTGCCTGAAGCGATTGATTAAAAGACTTTATATTTCAAGTAATATTTATAAGTGAACAACAATCAAGGAATATTCATATTTACAACAAATGTTTTGTTTCTACTTGTGTGAGTATCTCTTGTATTTTGTTCTGTGTTACATTGTTTTAAAAATTTGTATAAACACCACAAAAAGACATTACATAATTGTATAACCAAAAATTTGTTTTTGTGATCCTATAAACATTTTTATATCCATGGAAATATTACGGGTATTTCAAAAGTCAAATGCAAACTTCCATCATGTTGCTTCCCAGAGAAGCTTTGCTGACTCTCTGGCCGCAAGATATCCGTCGTAAAACTGACGGGTTCTACTCTTTATCACACAATGTCAACACGTATGTTCCCCAGGGCTCTGACATTGTTTCTCTTGCATATCAACGAGCTTCTTTTATGTACGATTAATTCGATCCACAGCTTTGCTGATGGCAGTGCTCTACATGCAGGAATTCAGTGATAAGCTGATCTCTGACCTAGAAAAAAGAAAATTAAAAGCGACTTCCTTTGTGACAAAAAACCTGTAGGTTGTCACTGCTCGAGGACGCAACAACCTGGTACATTTTAAGGCTTCAAAAACACAGTATTTCTGTACATTGACTAGCAAGAAGTGCCATAGCAGCTGCCGTTTCTATCGCTATGTCAACGGGCTTTGCTCCTCAGAGCCCTCCTCCATGATACCGCCGCGCGATGTGCCTGCCAGATAGACCCACCTGACCACGGGTCCCCGTTATAACAGTGCCGAACTTACATCCAGAACCTGCCGCCTTCTGCCGCTCTCCTGCGTCCCTAGATTATTGAGACTGTGGACCAATATGCCTTAGGAGGCTGTTCCCAGTTCTACTAACACTTGGGCAATTCAAAAATCGGATTAATAGAAATTCTTCAAGCTCGTCATGCCATCCGCGGTGCCCTGGTATTTAGGTTTCTGCCACGCTGCTGCTTCGGTATAACAAAAAGTGCCATATTCAAATATCTACTATTTTTAATAGTTATAATGCATGCTATTATAAAAATGCCATTCCTATTAGTGCAGTAATTAGACAATATTTAAACTTTTGGAAAATGATTTCAATGAACATTAAATATTCCTCAAATAAGATGTGAAATCTCGGAATCCAATCACTTGGAAGATTTCGCAACAATACATGTGAGGTTCTATCAGGTGCGTTAAGGAAATGCAGGTATCTTCATATGAATTCTGGGGAATATGATTTGAACGACTAGAATAAGAGTAGTGTTGCTGGTATTTTTTCTTTATAATGTTTAATTTTGCATCTCCCTGAAAATAATTGAATTTTCCGGATATGATCGATCCTGCCAAGCTGTATGGCAATGAACGTAACCAAGCATATTTTCCGTTGTTCGCCATAGACGGTGTGCTAATGCATAGAAACAGATGCATCACAAAGAATGCAGTCTAGTTCTAACGTCAGTGTTCACTTTCAATCGTATCGTAAAGTTTCGTAATAAACTCACTCCGTGACATGTTTGCGCCTTGCAGTGCACCGACATTGTTAGGGAGACTAGACAGTATTAAAAATAACACGGGTCGTCAATAGGCTCCCTAAGTATTTCCCAAAATTACGATCCAGAATGTGATCTTATTTCTGCCATGGCGGATAGGCATTGATCACATGTATACAGACAACAAACAACCCTTTCTTATCTGACGGTTTCCGTTTGGCATGGAATGTACGGTCACGTTCTAATGGTATCCAGAGTAAAAAAGTTTGTATGATACCTTGCGGCGCCGGCGGGACATACGCAGGAGATTTTAATGGGTTCTTTGCTTGCTTGAAAAATTTACCTGTTTGTCAAATTTTATATATTATAAATTAATACTTCTGTTTCAGCTACTAAAAATGCAATGTATTCTGTTGATCTGATCTGACACAAAATAGTAAGCTCCATATGCAAAAAAATACAATTATGTTATGTTCCAAAAGTCATATGACCAAAAGAGGATATTAAGTCCCTGGAAAACCAGTTGAGCCTACTTGTCAAAAATAACTGTCAATTAATCGTGCCACAAAGCCCTCTGCTACAAAGAAAATGATTCGTGTCCAATCAAGACAAGTTGTTACTAGTTTTCCAAAATAATATTTTCCAGAAAATAATATGACCGCTCTATACTTTGTGGAGGAGACATTTTTTGATAAATCTCCAAACAAAATTTACTTCCTTTCGTACAGCACCATTTTTTAGAGTCGAACACAAATTTAGTCAGCTCCATCTAGTTTTCTCGTTTAATGTCTATATTCAGCACCCAGCCAATCACAGACCGCTTGTCCCTTGCATCTCTTTTGTCATCAATGGGTTACGGACGAGTCCATTACGCCACTTGGGGAGGAGAAGTATCCACTTTCATTCATTTCTTAATTGGAATTTCTAAAATTTTAGGGACGAGTATGGGGTGTTTCCGCATTCTGTGATATACCTGATATTATGAAATGGTATAATTATTGGTAAAATGAGAGGAAGTAGGGTTTTGAGATGACATAAAATATAAAATACCCTGTGAGTAAATGTAGACTGGTCCCAAGGAGTAAGTGCACTGGACGTTGCCAGATGGTGTGAGCCTGCTTACATCTACCCTAATTGATTATTCGAACAGAATAATCTGTTAGGCCCAGTTTACAGCTGCTGTAATGTGATATGGCAATCTTGTATTTTTTGGTCAAGATTTCAATCATAGTTCGTCTGCCGATAATATTGATTATTAATTCTCGTGCTGTATGTTTCTGTCTGTTAACTAATTTTTCTAAAGAATGACATTTCACACATGTCAATTTAAAATTTGCTAGAGTTATCTAAAATGCTAAAGTTTCAAACTGGGCGCATAACCCATTAAATAAAAAACAAAACCGAATTGGAGCAGGTGACAATCAATCAAGTATGAGAGCACTATACAAATTTTGGTTGGCTGAACTTTTAGGGTCCTATGCGGAAGTTTGCACAATTTAGTTTGCAACGTTCTAAAATATACGTATGAATACGTCCCAGAAGTGAGACATTTGGAGCATTCCAAAATGTGCCAAGAGGTATGTTTTGCAAGGGACATTAAGGGTTCGAAAATCGTTGCCGCAATGTTAACGAAACCCAACGAACCAAAATGCTTATACGACTGGTGCGGTTTTTTATAAATCATTTAACCATAAACCAAGCTTGATAATAATTATTTTGCGTAAGTTATTTTCAGAACAATTCAATTTTCTGAATTTCAAGTTGTTTGTTGTCAATCTGTTTATTTGTTGTAATTGATGATATTTTATAGAGGAAGATTCTTTAAGCGCAGACTGTTCGCAATTTTTCGTAAAGTACAGTGAAATCGTGTATCGAGAATCACAGCCGAGTATTTTTCGAAAAAGCGTCAGAAGCCATATTTTTGATCACGGAATAGCATAATAAAATCTCTTTTCTTGATAGTCTATCGTATCACCGGGGGCGTAACAACCGCCGTAACAATGATACGTGGCTCCCAGCTTATAGGGACCGCGACGTGTAAAAGAAACAATGTGTAAAGTGTTATCTACAATTTCACGTAGGCCTTTTATTTCTTTTGTGAAAAACGTTTACCCCGTATTTTACCTTCAATTTAAAATTAACATCGCACAATAATTGTGTCCCGACATATTTTTGTATGGGGCTCCTCTCAGGAGCATGCTACGCCACTGCGAATAACATTTAATAAAATAAACCTCTATCAGATTTTCCCGATCAAACATTTCGTTTCCAGTCCGTGTTCTAAGATACATTTCCAATATGAATTATAATGTATGTGTGTGATTCTTCATTTTTTATTCAAGCTCTGAGTTACTACAGCTGTGCACATGATCTAGACGTAATAGGTGGATGGTTACTCATATGGAATCTGTTATGAAAAAATACTTATGTCCTAGAATATTGCACGAATAACAGTTTTTTTCCGTAAAGGGTCGGTGGAGGTAGAACCGATATAAAATGAATTTGAGCAATTTATTATTGCAGAGAGCAAAACATGTTCTATATCACATAAAGATCTAAGTTAAGTTTGTTTTTGCATGTTTCGAAGCTGCAAGGACAGATGAAATGTATTTATTGTAGGATATAGAATATGAAATAATTAATGGTAGATAGGTACACTGGCGGATTTAAAGAGTTTTCAAGAAATGGTATACAGGGTGTTTTAAATTCGACCCCCACCCTCGAAAACTGTAACAGATACAAAGTTGCTCAAATGAGGTCAAAGTTGCGTATTTAGGTAATCAACAAAGTGCCGCTTAGTAAGTTTCGAAATTCAAAGTACTTCCGAAGAGAAATGGAAAAGACAGAATTTTCCCAAAATCGATTTATTTTTTCTGGCTTTAATTGCACATTAATTCGCATTTTTTCCATCTACAATGTGGCGTAATTATAATTCCAATATGACGCTTCCTCTCTTGTCCTCCTGCATCAACTTTATTTTTTCTTGTGGACGCCACATTGGATTTTTGCACAGATGAATAGAGTTTTTTTAGTTTTGATTGCAAAAATGTAACATGTCATACACTGACCTTGCCAAGCCTTAGTTATATCAGAATTTCCAGGTAGGCCTTGAAATTATAAGATTTTATTTGTTTCGTGCACCAGACCTCAACTTAGCATTGAACAAAGCACAAAGTTGGAAGACTAACAAGAGAAATAAATCGCGCAGCGACCAATGCACAGGGAAGGGTCCAGGCTTTGCCTGCAAAATAACGAACATTTTGAACATCTATGATTTACCTCTGCTTATTTATGATTATTATTGTTATAACAATCAATAAAATGTTCATGTTGTGTTCAGGTTTCACCATACCATTTTATTTCTTTATAATTTTCATCGTACAACCAATTCAGGGCCGACTAAGGAAATACATAACTGAATTTAGGAATTACAATATAGCGCCCATATGAAAAAACAATGTTGGTGATGGAAGTCGAAAACTAATGTCGAATTAAAAATTTGACTACGCCATCTTGTAGAGGAGAATAATTAACAATGGCAACATGCAATTTATTTTGGGATACATCGGGTATGCGAAACAAATGACAATCTGATAATTCCCAGGCATACCTGGGAAATTTTCCTTTTTTCTTTGAATTACCTAAGGTTAATTAAAGGTTAACAATGCATGACGCATTATATACTTTTGGGATCAGAA